ATAGAGGAGGCAGGGACTACACCGGAAATGGAGCTGCGCAGAAAAAAAAAAAAAAAAGCTGGACCGTCAAAACATAAACAGAGCAGAAGACAACCTTGTGTGAACGCAGCTAGCTCGTATTGTTGTCAGACTTTTTCCTAAGCAACAAACATAGCTTAATGCATGCCCTCCTAATGTGGTGTGTTTGCTGTGAGGAAACTCCCAGCCAAGGCACTTAGCTGGTTTACCGAGCAGAGAGGTGGAGGAATCAAATCTGCAATAAAGATTAGGACTAAACTAAGAAGTGCGCCTCGTCGGGCCTCCGAGTAGAGGTAATGCTAGCAATGCTAAGTTAGCAGGTAGAAGTCTCCGTGTTTGGGTAACTAACGTGTTGACTGTAACTTAAATGTCCAATTTTAGCTTTGATATTTGCTCGCCTTTTACATTTTACGGAGCTTTTACTCGGATGATCCGGCTGTCATGTTGGAGAACAGTCGCAGTTATTTGGAGAAACACAAAGCAAACAGTTGGGCCTCTGAGTCGGACTGAGAAGTCAGTTTTCATATATTTGATGCAGCAATGTAACCATTTTAAAGTAGCCTGATGGTACATTTTAAAGCTAAACGACTAACCGTCAACCAAGATCAACTCATTTGTGTCTGCTCTTTTTTTTATTTAACGTCCAGGCTTCCTGGTAACCAATAAAACCTGATTAAATTCTGCTTTTCCTTTCTGACTCTTTACAGTTTCTGCCTAAGGACGACGCAGGACATTAAAACGAAAATAAAAAAATGGCTGAAGCTGATGGAAAATCCCCTATGCTCAACGGTACAGCATGAGAGATGGAAAATACACACTTCTCTGCATTTTATCATATGTTCTGTTTGTTCCACCTGCAGGTTTTTAAGAGAAAATGTTTGTGTTTATTAGGTGGATCAGATGAAAACCAGTCTGCAGAAGATCAGCTCAAAGAGGAGGATGCCTCTGGAAGTAAAGATGGCCAGTCACAGTCTTCCTCTGAAGATGGTAACAACACGTTTGTAGCCTTAATACCTCATCTTATTATCTTTTTTAACCTACTTTATGCCCTTTTTTTTTATTCCGTCTTCCGTAATCAAGCCCAATTGCAACTATGCATGTGAAAAATTGTTTCTTCATTTGTTTTTCTTGCAGTATTAATTTACAATTTAATTACAACCTATGGAAATCATTCTTTACACGGCAGCAATGTTTTGAGTCTGTTGTATGGAGTCTCATAGCAGCAGATGCCCCAAAACATAAGAAGGAAGAGCGTGTTCCAGAGGCTGAGGTTTACAGAGAGCACCAGAAGTTGAAAAGAGACGATGTCATTACTGTAAAGTGCATCACTGGTACTACACACTGTTGGTCAGCTGGCTGAAAGAAGGCTGCTACATGTACAGGATAGTGAAATTTGGCTGTTTTTGGTCTTAAATTACTCGGACAATCGTTGTCTGGAAACTACAGTTGTGCCCCCATCCATTTTTATTAATGCAATGCTATTCTGAAACTATTTTTGGTAAATTGCAAGAAGTAGGTCTTTGAAACAACTAACTGCAGTCTCTACTTACTGATTAACTACCTAATATCAATTTTGAATGCTAAAAAAGCCTAAACTCTTGCTTTAGTGAATCATAAATTTAGGCTGTTATAAAATGTTGAATATGCACTGGATTTTCAACAAAACTTCTAATTTAAATCCAGCCCAGGTTTTATTTTGCCATTTCTTTGTTTGAATTCAGTGGCAGCATGTTTGTTTTGTTTTTACTTAATTGTTTCTACTTTTGTAATTCTTGATTAGCAACTCTGTTGTTATACAGGATAGCCACTGGTTTTTAAAGACATTTGATCACAAGATCCTTAGCTTTCCCTGCAAATCTGTATAGATATTTTCTGGCTTTACTCCCTCTTTATGCCATTAATATCAAACTTTCTTCATTTGCATTGATTTTTCTTTCCTAAATCTCCCAATAAGTTTGGGTTTCCTTCATATCTTGGTTTTCTTTTTCTGCAGCTCCCAAAGAAATAGCTGAGGTTTCTGGAGACAAAGCCATGCCAGAGGCAGAAGGAGAGACGGGTGGAAACAAAGAAGGAGAGGAGGAAGAAGATACAGACAGCATGGATGGGAGCGGACTGTTTTCTTTGACAGAGGATGGAGAGAGGGAGAGTGAGGGAGGCAGGCGAGAAAGGGCCAAAGACAAGGACAGAGTGAAAAGAGCAGCTAGAAAGAGAATCAGACCCGGAGGTGGTACTAATCACTCTTCCAGCTCAGATGATGACGACGATGATGATGAGCAAAAGGAGGAAGAGGAGGATGACGATGATGACGAGGAGGAGGATGACGAAGCTATGGAGTCATGGCTGGGAGCAGAGCTCCATGACCTCCGTGGCCCCATATGGCAGGCGGTGCCCTCTCTTCGCTCTAGAGAGATCGGCAAGAACTCGCACCAGTTTGTCCGCCGTGTGTGTGGAGCCCGGGGCCTGGTGCAGCGGCTGGAGCTCCAGGGACGCCTGGAGAGGCACACTGGCTGCGTCAACACATTGCACTTCAACCCATCTGGTACGCGCCTGGCATCAGGCAGCGATGACCTACGAGTGGTGATCTGGGACTGGGCCGTCCGCCGAGCAGAGCTGGAATTTGACAGTGGACACAAGAGTAATGTCTTCCAGGTGAGTTGGGGAAAAAATCAATCTATCTTTAAAACCTCGATCTGTATTTAACATTTCTTTTTGTCTATTTCTCTACTTTCATCAATCAATACATACTGTCTCTTTATGATAAAATTTTCTGTTAACTGATTACAGTCCTCATTGCATGTAGGATTAGTAAATTAGGATCCAAATAAGTACAAGATTAATTAATAAAAAAAAAAAATTGCTGTGAATAAAGTCTGCCTCTTGCCTTTGGGTTTCTACAGGCAAAGTTCCTGCCCCACAGCGGCGACTCCACCTTGGCCATGTGCGCTCGTGACGGACAGATCAGAGTTGCGGAGCTCTCCGCCACGCAGCGCTGCAAGAACACAAAGCGGGTAGCACAGCATAAAGGAGCAGCACATAAGGTGAGTTTATTGGACCAAAATGTGAAATACTTTGGAGATAACATGCCAACTGTTATGTCTTGACTTCTGTTGTTTCATTTATCTTATCAGCTGGCGCTAGAGCCAGACTCGCCTTGTTCATTTCTGTCAGCTGGAGAGGACGCCGTGGTGTATGGTATCGACCTGCGTCTAGACCGTCCTGCCAAGTAAGTCATTGCTTCTTGATCTTTTACAATTTAGATGCAATGCAGTAAAATGCTGCAACTTAAACACTACCTTTGGGAGGGCAAAGGTAACTAAACTCTGTCTAGATGTATACATAGTAAATGGTCTGTATTTGCATTGCTCTTTAAAGTACTTTACGTACTTTACACAAAAGTGTAAACTTGCTGATGCTGTAATGACTTTGTCTCATGTCTTGTGTGGCAGTAAACTTGTGGTGGTAAAGGAGGGCGATAAGAAAGTGGGGCTGTATACCATCTTTGTCAACCCAGCAAAGACCCATCAGTTTGCTGTTGGTGGCAGAGATCAATATGTAAGGTATGAGCTGAGCGGAGCTCCGCTGTTGGTTGTCCTTCTGGATAAAAAAAAACGATTTCTGAAATTGATGAGATATTTGATCTGAAAGACAGTTTTATGATTTACTCCTCCTTGGTTCATCTCCTGACTTTTCTTTTTTTTTTTTTCTTAAAGAATCTACGACCAGAGGAAAATCAATGAAAATGAAAACAATGGCGTTCTGAAAAAGTTTTGTCCTTCACACCTGGTATCCAGCGAGTCTAAAACCAACATAACTTGTCTTGTGTACAGCCACGATGGAACAGGTAAAAGCAACATCTCTATTGGATAAATGTGATCTTATTGGCATATATTGGCACACTCAGACATTTACACCTTTGGCCAAAAGAGCCAAATTCTTCCTGTTGTTTCTCATTACACTATGAATTAGTTTATTCATCCATCCAACCATTTTCCGTCAACATTTGCGTTAACTGATCCTTTCACACATGTAGGAAACCTGGTTTCTGAGAATGAATCAGCCTTAATGAGAATTTACAGAAGCCATTTATTCTAAAAGTCATGTTTTTGGACTGTGGGAGGAAGCAGGAGTAGAACCCACAGATGCACTCGGAGAACAGGCAAACTCCAATCAGAGACCCAATTCCCGGGCTGGGGATCAAACCTGAAACCTTCTTGCAGCAGTGCTACCCACTCTTCCACTACATGCAATTGGGGGAAAGAAAAGATGATGGAATCAGTTCATAGCCAAAATGTTTTCTAAACATTTGACTTATCAAACTTACTCACTCAAGGCCGTCTTTCAGAGAAATCGAATATTCTTCATAAAGTTCCTGCCAAATCTGCAGAAGTATCCATAAATATCGAAACCTACCGGCAATATATGTTGGATTTTTATTATTGTGGTGCTTGCAGTTCGGATTACGTACGTGAAAAACGCCCTTCAGCTCCCGCAAACGGTAGCAGAAAACTGTGAAGAGGCGACTGGGCCAGAGGCTGCCGTTGAACGAGATTCCCAGTGACAGCGCACCGCCGGTTTATGGGGGTCTGAGCGGCTCCGACAGTAAAATAATATTTAAAGGCAGGATCGTAATCTTGATGAACTGACTGCACAAAGGAAGTTTTCAGGTGGACTTTCTCACTTAAACACATATTAAAACTGTGTTTTACCCACGTATAGCAGCAGATATAGCTGCCATTGTTACAGGCAAAGAAAGGATAGGGCAGCTCCATCTACCGAGCATCAGACCCACTTTTCGACCGCCCAGCTAGAGCAGCAAAGATGCTTCAGCCGTGCGTCAGAACTAAACTTGTACAAGCATCAAAAATGAAGAAGCAAATGCGTTTTTGCTGCTCCTGCTACATGCGGCCCGAACGTAGCATTAGTCACTCTATGTTTCCAAGCTTATCATCTTGTTCAGTTTTTCTGAGCTATCTCTAGCATAGCTTGGACTTATGCTCTGGGTCATTATATTGCTGTAAAACGGAAGTTCTGGCCAACATGGTCCTGCAGAATGCTGTGGTAGCCCATCTGTTACACGGTTGTTTTCACTTTTTCCAGTCACCAACCCTGGATCCAGCAAAACAGCCTCAGATAAATCATAGGTGGAACAGGTGAAATAAACCCTTCACATGTCCAACAGCCACAAGAAGATCCTATGCCATGAATTAAGATTTTGGATTTAGATCAATTAGTCGATGTGACTCCTAAAGATATCAGTTGTGCAATCATGGTGTTTCATGGTCTTATTCTGTTATCTTAGCTAAGTTTATTTTTTTGTTGTTACAACTCATTCTGTCAAATGTGCAGCAGAAGTTCTTCTCTTCAGATAAAACTGAGATGTTACTGCAGCTGCTTAATAACACATGGACCTTCTAAGTCTTGATAAGAAAGACCACATCATTAAAGTTCTTTGTGAATGTCTGGCTCTTCTACATTGTTAGCACCATTTTTATTCCAACATTCTACTTTCTGCTGTATAATAGTCAAACCTCATGCAGTTTAACACGACCTTTGTATGATTTCAAACGATTGATTTGACTTAAATAACTGATGGAAAATGATGATCTTTTTTTTTTTTACCAGTAGTGTGTGTCTGTAAGAAATTGTTTAAAGTATTATTTTTACTCAATAAAAGACTTAAAAGTGTTTGTTTGCAGAGCAACTTCCAGATTAGATTTGGCGTCAGCAGCATAAGTTTATCAGCTTTTTGGTTGAGCTTATTGAGCAATAGTCAAAAGTTCAACTGATCAGGATGTTTATGGGAATTTTTAAAACGCAACATTCGAGAACCAACAGGAAAAATAAAAATTCTAACTCAAGTTTAACAGGTCTAAAGTTCTCCAAAAAAGTGGCTTTATTACTGTATTATTACCTTTCTCTCTTTTTCTTTCTATCTACCCTTTTTTTTCCTACAATAAAAATGTCCTGCCTCCTTTATACAATTAGTTTCTTTGTAACTTACTTCTTATCCGTTCTAGTCCTGCCTGGATTCCCTCGTGTTTTTTTTATTTTTTATTTTTTTTTAAAGGATGAAATGGCAACATTTAAATCCCGCACACTGAAAAAATATCCGCCCTTAAATCTCTGAATTGTTATTTTTAGATGGGAAGAAAAGGATGAACTCTTCACTTTCGACTTTGAAAAAGTCTGGAAATTTAACCTGTAGAAAGTGTTGCTACAGTTAAATTATTTTTTAATTTTCTCAGAACTCCTGGCAAGTTACAACGATGAAGATATCTACCTGTTTGACTCAAACCACAGCGACGGGGCAGACTACCGCAGGAGATATAAGGGACACCGCAACAACGCCACAGGTATTTAATTTAGTAAATAAAGCAGAACTTTCATTTTAGGAATGCATTGGGTAGTCAATGTTTAGTTTTTTTCTCAGCCAGCCCTGATCAGCCTGTAGGATTAGAAGTCTCTCCAATAAACACACTTAATTTAACAGTCACACTTTCAACATCAATCTTCAGCATTTTTTGGGACAAGCGCTCATAATTAGCCTTTTTTAGTTTTAGAAGGGAGTTTAGAAATTAATTTAGATAAGTTCATGAATTTCTTTTACAGACCTTACTGCAGAGAATTAACTTTTGATTCTTGACTGATTAAAAATATGTTAGAAATCTTTTGGAAATGTTATAGTAGGGTAAGAATCTTCAGAGGATACACACACCTCTAATCAACTTGTTTGTTCTTGATTAATAATAAAATCATTTGTCACTGTAGAGCTGTTTAATGTAGATCTGTCAAATCACACTTGTTGAAATCCCCTCTTGATCCGCTAAATATTTAAAGCTACAGTGTGTAATAATTACAGGGATATACAGTCAGAAATGTAATATATTATACATAACTATGTTATTTATCATCATCTACGAGCTCAGCCTCTTAACCTTAATATTTGCGTTGCCTGAGAATTCGTTATTTATAATTACATAGGAGCGGGTCTCGCAGCCATGGAGGCAGACATCTTTGCGCTACGGCAGCGCAGAGCCAACAAACTAGTGATTGTGAGATCGCCAAAACGTCACAACGATGTAGAAAAATAACGGGTATATTTATTATCTTAAGTCTACATGAAATCTATACCCTACACAGACTAATGAAATACTATCTGTAAAATTATCTATATAAACAAACCTCATCACTTGAGAAGGTAGGTGATGCGGACGTCGTGGAAGACATTTTGTCCCGTAACGCTCGCCGTACTGTTGGGGGGGAGAAGCGGTGGGGGGGAGATGTTCATGTTGCTGCAGTCTGACCGCTAGATGTCGCTAAAAGTTACACACTGTAGCTTTAAATGTTTTTATAACAATTTATTTATAAGCAGACGTACATATTTATTTGGAGTGCCTTTTGATACATTTTAGATATAATTTTTTACATCTATAGAACAAGTATTGTTCCCCTTTCCATTTAGAAGTGTATAATTCGCATCACTTTTGAATGATAACAGATCTAAAAGTAAATCGCTGTGATCCTCAAGGCTGGACTGGGGAAACTGCTAGTTTTGCGCAGATTGGCTCACTTTGAACTGCTGGGTTGACATTTAAAGTAGAAATATTGGCGTGTAAATATGTATGTTAACAAAAGGTTACAGTGCTAATATGTTCCTTTTTTATCTCTGGTGTCAAACTAAATTGTTTCCTGTTTTGCATTAAAAATAACTTCTAACCTGTTAAATGAAGAGCAGATAAAAAAGCTGCTGTATTTTTAAACCTGCATTGACTTTATGAGAAACTTCCTTAGAAACAGATTATTTTCTGCTACACCATCTCTAATTTGGTCACTCTGGTACATCTTTAGTACAGCTTTATTTGGCTAAAATTCAAAAATATTTAAAAGGGTTGCTCCACTTTTGTGAAGGGGTTTCTCTATCTCTAGCCACACATTTTAACTTGCAGTATTTAATTTTGCTCGTCGCATACGTGGTTGACACGTAGCATTTTGAAGATGAACAGCATGACCAGCTGGAGCCGCAGTGCGGGATGATATTGGAGTGGATTTTCTTTTCTGTCCCATCCCTCTCACACAGGGACAAAATTCAAGTCCTAAACCAGAGTTTTTTTTCTCTAAATCACAGTATTTTTACTTTTTCTTTTTCATGTCATTAAAATTCTAGAATTTCACATAATCTTATATGATTAGTCTGACTATCTCATTTAAATCATCAAATGCACACATTTAGTAGGCGAGCCCGAGCAGCATTTTTACCAAACAGTTTAAATCTCTAGACCATTTTCTTGGATGACTACTTTTACTTGAGTAAAACTAAGTATTTCTACTCTAACTAAAAAAGTTTGCCCACTCTACTCACCTCTGCTTATTGCTGTATCTGAAAATAAAGGCAAATAAAAGCACCCCTTACCCTGCAGCCCCCCATTTTCCCTACATTAAACTTATCCCATTTAGCTGGATTGCTTGGAAGGTTATAATCAGATTTTAATTACGTTTTTACCAGAGGTGCACCTCATGCAAAGGAATGATTTATTGAAATTTTGGCAATCCCTAATAAATGTCATCCTCTACTGTGCACCTCCTTATCCGCTATAGAGGCTTTTTCTTTTCTCTGCCAGGCTTTAAGATATCTGCTGTTAACAGTCATATCGGTAGCTATACTACTGTTACTAAGCAGACCAACCGGGCAGAGAAAAGGAAAAATAGGTGTTTGCACTGTGGGAAAAGCAGCTCTGTGGCGCTGAGGTCAACGGTAACAGGACTTCCAACCAGCGGCCAAACAGGACAATCCTTTTTGGTTTTACACGCCCATCTGTCACTCTATTAATACTGCAGTAAAGTCATTTGTATTGTCGGCCTTTCTTCAGTCTGACCCTAAACACACAAGACTGTCGATCTCAAACTGGCTAGTCTCAGGGGGAAGTCATTGATTCAGATGGTTTTATGAATCATTATTATCATTACATTATTGATTCTAATTTAATTGTTAAACACATTAAATGTTATTAATATATATATATATATATATATATATATATATATATATATATATATATATATATATATATATATATATATATATATATTGTATCTGTGTCAGCCTGTTAAACCAGACTAAATGTGATATTAAAGTTGTAATCTAACTCGCAGGCAAAAATGATTTTGGCTGCTGGGGCTATTTTACTAGGCTATATCTGTGTACTTTAAAGTTTTACAGTTTGGGGAAAAAAAAGGTTGAAAATCTATTATTTGAGGTAAACAAAACAAATTGGATATCAAGTAATTGACCTAAACTATCATTAGGGTTGTGTTTCTTATTTTTATAAGGGTGTAGTTTTTGTAAAATAATTAAGTGGTTACACTTTTTCGTTTACAGAAACTAGCAACAAGTAAAAAAAATAATTAAAATATTTTATTTATTTATATATTTTTTTTCTTTCAAGATCATCTTGACTCGTCATGCCTTGTGTGTTACAGTTAAAGGCGTGAACTTCTACGGGCCCTGCAGTGAGTTTGTGGTCAGCGGCAGTGACTGCGGTCATATTTACCTGTGGGACAAACATTCTGCTCGGATCGTCCAGTTTATGGAGGGAGATCGAGGAGGAGTGGTGAGTTTAAATGACAAACTGTAACAGATTTATTTTTTTTTAGGTGGAATTGGCTCCCAGCTACAAAACTAGCATTAACATTTGTGATTTTGTTCAAAAACTTGGTTAACTGAATTCTGTTGAAATTTGAAAAACCTTTTAGTTTTTATGTTGATTGACTGTTTTTTGTTTTTGTTTTTTTTTATTAAGGTAAATTGTCTGGAGCCACACCCTCACCTGCCAGGAATGGCCACCAGTGGGTTGGACCATGATATCAAACTTTGGGCTCCTACAGCTGAGAACCCCACTGCACTCAAGGGCCTGAAAGAGGTACTGATTCCTGCTATTTTCCTCCATCTAGTGATCAACTAGTGAACTTACTCTGATTTAAAGAGAAAACCATGCACTTTACAGCAAAGAGGGTCTAATATTAGAGCTTGCTATGCTTTTTTTTAAAGAGGGTGTATCAAACTCCTGTAACTCTTCATATTTTAGATACAGTTCCTCTTTATTTCACCTGGTTAAACACCTTGACACAAACATCTTTAAACACACAACTCTTCTCTATAGTCTGGAGATGATGTGTGTGATGGAAAGATAAACCTGGATTATCATCTAACCTTGATCCAGTTTAAAGTTTGGTCAAGTTTAAGTTTTATGTTCACTGCTCTTACAATCGACAGTCAGGATTTCTTAAGATGTTTATTTTCTATTCTAGAGCTCCTAGTTTCCTTCAGTGCCCCTTGGGTATAAATACACTTTTCCATATCAGACTCTGAACCAATAAGATTGTAATTACATGTTTTCGTTAAACGTCATTATGAAATAAAATGAGCTCCTATTGGTGCGTTTCCATCAGCTTTTTCTAATGAGCTTCATGAAGTTTCGCATCAGAAAAGCTTGACAGAAACATCAAAATTAGAAAAATCTTCCTCAAATTCGTAAAAAAAAAAGTTTTTAAACTTGCTTGAGGTGGCTTTTGGCTTAAGGTGCAAACAGGAAATAGAAACACTTATTTCTAATCGGCGCTGACATAGCAAACTTTAACCTGACATAACTGAACAGCTATTTCTGCCGTCGGCTTCTTCCTGGATGTTCCTATTATTGGCTGGAAGCAACATCACCATTATTAGTTTTAATGTTAAAGTAAGAACCACTTGCCCCATAGCGACTCGTGGTTACGGCATTGCCCTTGGAATCCAGAGGTTGTGAGTTCAAGCCCCATTCCCACAGACTACGATTTTGGGTCCCTGAGCAAAGACCCTTAGCCCCACACTGCTGCCCAAGAGGATGGGTTAAAAAGCAGAGAGTTCATTTCGTTGCTCTGTACTTGTGACAGTGTAATGATAATAAAACACTGGGGAGAAAAAAAACCTCAATCAATAAAACTCTCCTCTATTACTGGCCTGTGGTCAGTCCTAGATTCAAGCTTCTACTTCCTGTTTATTACACTGATGATGTAATGTTTTCGGCGACGTACGATGATGATACCCTTTGTGGCGCTTCATTAATTGGTTTTAAACCAAATGGAAACACCACAAAATCACTTTTCCTTTTTTTTAAGCTTTCAAAAAAAATTTGCATTTCAGTTGAAAGAAAACACGGTTTATTAGGAAATTTGGGGGAAAAAAATAGGGCATCATCATTACCAGGTTTGCTAAAAGGTGAGTGCGTTGTAGGTAAGAAAAGAAAAGGTATTAAATAGGTAATTACAGCTTTATATGGTAGCTTTTACTTAAAGTGTTGTATCTGTCAAAAATCTTTAGCACAAATATTTTGACAACATTATATAGATTAATTTTATTCCTCTCCCTTATTGCCAACCAACTGACAATTTTTATATGTTAGATGTTTGCATCAAAAAAAATTTGCATTTTCTTTATCTCAATCTTTGTCTTAACTGAAAAAATAATTTATTGTGTTCTTGAAGGTAATGAAGAAAAACAAGCGGGAGCGTGATGAAGACAGCGTGCGTCATGGCGACCAGTATGACACCCAGCTGCTGTGGTTCCTGATGAGACACATGAGAAACAGACGACCTGCTAGGGTGAGCCAAATAGTGAAACTTCTCTATTAGGGCTGGTTAATGCTGTAATGGGCATAACACAGCATGAAGGTCATCGTTTCAAAACCATTTAAGTTTTCTGCAATGTCATTCCTGATGCACAAGTGTTTTATTTATTTATTTTAACTCATGCCTTGTCGGAGAGGGGGCTCGGGTTTTAAGTAGCTGCAGCATCTTATTCCCCTCCACGCATGTTGGATTGTATATTTAGTTTTAAGTGAAAAGCGAAAGTACTGAATCCCTCCATTGCTTGTTATTTCAGTTGCTTCTAAAACGGCTCCCACTGACAAACTTAACTACGACTGTAGAGGTTAAGATAAGGTTCAGCCCACAATTGAGGTGACCACTAAGATCACCCTGCCTACGAAAAAAAGCCTCAGAGAAAACTAAACTCCGACAAATGGCAACAAAGTGAAGCACAAAGTTACCTGATGGAAATACTGAGAGATTTTGCCTCATCAGCACAGAAAGAGTGGCTGAGGGAGGTGAATGTAAGGAGACCAGGTGGTTTTTTTCCACGCATCACCATCGCTGTTAATCTGTGACTCCATGCGTGCCCATCTCACAGCCGATGTGAAAAAAAAGGTAAAACAAATGAACGCTGTGCTTGCTGTTATCCCGGGGGGTCTGACAAAGAACTTCAACCGCTCGACATCGGTGTGAACCGGTTTGATTAATACTTTGTGCTTTATTCATGTATTTATTACAAACATACTCAGCTTTGCTCCCGCTCTATTTTCAAATACACAGTAGAGTTATTTAAACGTAGTAGAGGACATGTACCTGTATATAAAACCCGCGCCCTATAGTCCGGTGCGCCTTATGTGTGTGTTAAATACAGTAATAATGGCACACATAACTGAGACTGCGCCTTTTAGTACGGTGCATCTTATGGTCGTGAAAATACGGTATATGAAAAAGGTGAAAATCTTAAGCATGTTTTTATCAAATGTATGAGCAGGAAAGCCTGAATATTTAAAGCCCCTTGCCAGCACATTACCTTAAATACAGTTTATTAGCAAGTAATAAGGCACTACAAGCTTTTTTTCCTGCTAAACATAAAAAAATCATGCAATCATGACAAAAAAAAAGTATTGTTTGCTACCTTGATTCAGATTAACAATAGTTAGTCTCCATTAGATGCAGTTTTATTCGTTGCTCATATGATCAGTAGCTTTGTTCATCTTTTACAATATCGGGGACTCCTTTTTGCTTTATGGAAAGAAAATGAAAATAAATACTTTGGAAAACTTAGAAGTCTTTTTAAACAAATTGCCATTTCTACGCCGTCTATTTAAAAATCCGGACAATGTTCTCAGAGGATGCTTCAGTAGATGGTGCACACGTAAAACCATTTGGTCATAATAAAGATATATAAACCAAGAATCCGTCCTGATGGTGTTTAGAGTGTCAGCACAGGGCACTATTTGCTGACTTTAACAGACGTGTGCACCATCTGCTGGCAGCACCACATACCTATCTTAACAGATATTAGTGACTACTAAATAGAGCCAGACTTGGTGGTAAAGTGACAGCTAAGCATGAGGAAAGGCTAACCGATCTAAAGCGGTGCTTAACATGGACTGGAACTGAATGCGGTGCAGCAGGTGTGCTGCAGACAGTCACTCCTAATGAGCGCTGCGACCAGGCTGTCCCTGATGCGCTCCAGCTGCAGAAAGGGCATTTGAGAGTAAAAAAGTTCAGGTGGGTTCACACTCTTTCTGGGAATTGACAGTGAAAACTTGTTATTGTGCATGTAAATATCCCTCTCATTGGTGGAGAGCCCATCTGTTTCTGTTTAGCCCTCTTCTTTCTGTAACAATGCCCACAATGCACCATTACTGATGCAAGTGTGAACACTGATTTTAATGATTTGGCTTCCTCGTGGTGCTGCACTGCGTTCATTGTGAGCCCTGAGTGAGTTTGGATAAATCCTCCCCAGAGCCTCCTATCAGAACATCAAAGGAAAAATAGCTTTGCTATCACTAGTATCAGCAGTGAAATGTTTACTCCTGCATTCATTAGCTTTGCAGCCACATCTGGATGCCTCCATATTCTGAGTGCTATTTGAGTCTTATTCCTGGTAGAATCTGTTTTTTTTTTTTGTTTTTTTTTTCCATTTTCCATCTGGATCTTGGAAGTTTCTTGATTATTTTCACTCTTTGCTGTGAGGTGCTGACTAGCTTAGCTGCAGCACTGACCTGTGAACCCCCTGAGCACTTATGCAACATCACGCTGCCCTTGTTATTGTTAACATACAGGAAGGGCTTTATTTATTAAAAACTGAGCAAAACAAAGCATAAAACTTAAAAATAACAAATAATTTGCCAGCAGAATATGGTGATGTTTCTGTTAAACTTTGAATGCAACCAGAGTCAGCTACTGGCATTTAAATTAAGGCTGAAAAAAATGTATCGCTTGTTCGTGATGAAGCAATTATTGAAATACTCGTCAATTTAGTAATCGATTAATGGTTAAATGGAGTGTAGATACTGTAAAATGTAGGATTAGCTGACAGAGCAACCCACTTAAAGCAGTAATAAGTAATAAAGATTGAAAAAAAAAAAGAAAATGTCAACATTTTCATGTAAGAATAAAAATGTTTTTCATCTGTCAATATCCTCTATCCAGATCTCTTGAAGTGGAAAAGTTTTAGTTTCACCAGGTTTGATTTCGTTAAAAGTATTCTCTAAGGGACCTTTGGCTATCCCATTATAAATCGATTAATTGAAAAAATACTCAACAGATTAATCGATTTGCCAAATAATTGTAAGTTGCAGCCCTACTTTAAATGCAAAAAAAAAAAAATCATTCTAATGCACCTTTCAATCTTCATAAACTTAAATACCAAAAACATGTTTTTAAAAGCAACAATACTGATTTAACAAGAGTTATGGTTTGAAAATGACGTGTCTAGATAAAAATCTGTTTTTACCATAATTTGATTCAGATAAACTTTTCTCAAAAGCTTATTTATGTAGTTAGTTTTTTAGTAAATCTAATCCCTGTGACGCCTGCCCTCCTCTCTCCATCCAGGCTCGCCGTGAAGGAGCAGACGCAGACACAGACGAGTCCTGGAGCTCCCCAGATTCCTCAGAGGAAGAGGACGGAGGTCCCGACCACGTCCAGTGCATGTCGTCCTGAGCCCCAGACGAACAGACATACACGCACATACATATGCAGATATTTACACAACGTATTGCCCTTGAATTGATGCACATAGGCAAGCACTATTGACACACAGGCAGAAGCCATAGACGCATACAAACACCATCGAGCAGATACATTTCTTTAAAGATACTACACTGTTGAAGCAGAGTGGCAGAGATGCTAAGCCCCAGGTTTACCCAGCAGGGACAAGTTTGTAAACGCCGCCTGTAGACTGCGACACTTCCAGAATTTGTTTTCATTTTTTCTCTGTTAGAATTTGTGCACAGAGGGTTTAGTGAGTGTTTACAACCTTACAAACCACTCGGAGTCCCAGTTTGTTCCACGTGTTTTCGACATGGACTCTAAAAGTTGCTTTGCTAGAAGTACTGAACACTTTTAGCAGGTGATTGTAGTGAGCTTTACATCACCAGCAGACCCAAACCCCCAATCTGGGTTTCAGACTTCCAAAGAAAGACTCAACAGAAGGGAAGGCTGAAGGCTTATACCCTCAAACCATCCCCTAAATGTGACTCCCTTTAAAGATTTAAAGTAGATTAGGGTAAGTTCTGCTTTTTCCCAGTTACGTGATTGCTTTAGAGCATCTTTAAATCCTTTTCATTTTACACATCGCCGTCTTGATGCTCTCATTTTCTTCTTGTCACTCCTGGTTGCAGTTAGAATCAGGGGCGATTTAGGTTGGACTTTGACAAAATGTGCACTGTGTGTGATGATGGGGGACAGGCTATTTTAATGGGAAACGCAAAAGTGGAGTTTAGGGTTTGTTTTTGTCCCTTTCAAGAGAGGATATTTTGCACTTGAGCATTTCTTAATGAAAAAGAGGAGAGGTAGTTTCCTTCACTTCTACCGGCCTTTCCTCAGCTTCTTTCTTCCTCCTTCTCTCCAAACAGGAACTCGTCTTTTAGACTCACCTCTGGGTCATCAGGATAAATAGGAGGTGTATATTTGCGTCTTTTTCTATTTTGAAGTACCAAACCCAACCTTGATCAATTAGTTTACTGCCTGTGAGCTAAAAAAAAATAAAAAATTAAACTCTAGGTTTGACGTTATCTATTCGATTGCTTTAAACCTCATCCTTTTTTGCCATAATTGTAAAAAAAAAAAAGCTTTGTGTTGAAGTTGACATCTTACAAAAAAGTGATTCCATAAAAGTATTGCTAGAAAATCTAAAATGAACAATCCCATTCAAACAAACGCTTGAAGGAGGTTTTTTTTTTTGCACTCGGCACATAAATCCTGTCTGTGCTGTGATAACACTGGCTAAAAGATGAGGATGGAGAGCGGCGGGGTTTGTCTGCTTGTCAGTGGTGTGAGAGCGATAAAAGTTAAGTTTTCCTCATTTTCTATGAGAACTGTAGTTAGTTGAATTAATATGTACATATATATATAAATATAAGAACTGTAAAAAAAAAAAATAGCAAATGCTGTTTGACTTCAGAAAAAAAAGGAAAAAGTCAAAACATTTGATTGGTATTGATGCAGAGATTTATATTCTATACTGTACAAGGACAAAATACTTTTCAAATCCACAGAGGAAAAAAAAATTCCTGTTAATTTTTTCTGTTGGTTTGTTTTTTTTTCCTTTTTCTTGACATAAACATTCAAAGTATTAAAGCAGTTTTCTCCTGTTGAGGTTTTTCTTTTTTTAATAGTTCCATAATATCGAAATGTTCTATCCAGATTTTCCCACATGCTATTTTCAGCATATTGCATAGCTATAAAAGAAAAGGCTTTGTTTAAACTATTTTCCCACCACTGCCTAATATTGCATTCTACTGGATCTTTGGAAATATGTACAATTTGTGCAATAAAAAAAGATGAAGCTCTTGAGTTTGTCATGTTCTCTGTCATTGGTGCCTGTAAGAACAAAATTATCTTGTTTTTACTACTGCAGTCAACACAAGTAAGGTAAATGTCACTTGAAATTGACAAAAGTAATATTTGGTAAAAAATCTATGAAAATGAACAAATAAAAGCTTTTCCATTATCATTTAACAGAATGAATTTAAAACAAACTCATTAAAAAGGCCTGGATGAAAATGATGGTACCCTTCATGTTTAAATGATTCCTCTAACTTTGGATCAGACCTTCTCTCCTCATGAGCAAACTGCTCCAGGTGTCTCAGGTTTTCAGGGTCAGCATGTTTCAGCTCCTCCCAAAGATGATCAATAGGATTTAGGTCAGGGGTCATAGAAGGCCACATCAGAAATGTCCAATGTTTCCCTCTTAGACATTCTTGGCTGTTTTGGGTCATTATCCAGTTGCAGACCCATGAACTGTGACTGAAACCAAGCTTTCTGACACAGAGCAGCACATTTCTCTCTAGACTCCCTTGATGGTATCGAGATAACATTGTATCCTGCAGAGATTCAGACACCCTGTGCCAGATAAATCATAGCATAACAGAGCCTCCTCCATGTTTTACAGTAGGGACAAGTCTTCTTTACTATAAACACTTTATTTTTCCATCTGATCATAGAGCTGATGTACCTCCAGAAAAAGTTCAATTTTTGTGTCATCTGTCCATTGGACATTCTCCCAGGTGGTTTTCAGCTTTTTAACATGTACAGTAGTTTGGCTTTTTAATTATTTGTTTTTCAATAATATCGATGATCATTAAGAACACTTTGGCTCAAACAACAGATGGTGCAATCAGATACAGATGTTCAGTTTTCTGGGCTCTTTTATTACCTTTAGTATTATTCGTCTCTTTGACTTGTCATCAAATTTTCTCCTCCAGCGAGGTTGGCTACAGCCCCATGGATGTTAAATTTATGAATTATGTACAGCTGTAGTCAGAGGAACACAAAGCTGCTGGATATGGTCTTCAACCCTTTACCTTTATTTTCTTTCTAAGCTCCAAAGATAACTCCTTACTGGTCACCTAACAGCACAGTGACAATCTAGAAAAATATATATATACCATATATATGCCCACTGACTGATTACAATTCTGTGGACACATCTTAATTTAACATGAGCCTTTGATCATTTTAATCTTTGTCCAGGCCTGTTTCATGAATGTATTCTTGGAATCATTTGGTCAAAGCTTAGTTATTAAGTTATGTTTGACTTTAATGTTCATAGAATTCTTATTTTGTCAGATTCAGGTTATTTCTGTGACCATGGTGGGTTTTTCTTTCATTAAGCATAAAGAACCAACATTTTTTTTTAAAATGTGTAAAATTTTCCAAAGATTAGATTCAAACTTGGAGGCTTTGTAGAAGTCTCTATATAGGGCACTAATGCGTATAATTGATTTATTTTAGTTGCAAATAGTTGTTTAACAGGTTGAAATCTAAAATTTACAAAGAAAAAAAACCACACAAGAGAAGCTTAAATGTAAAAAAAAAAAAAAAAAAAAAGGTTTTTGCAATAGTTTTCTATAACACCAATGATGCAAAAATATATTTGAAAGCTACTTTCACATTTGAATCTTTTTCCCTCATGTGCATTTGCTGATTTTAAGGTTTGGCTAATAAAGTTAGGCTTTTCTAGTAATGGAAGCTTTGACAGTAGCCTTCAAAGGTATGCAGTTTTCACGTTAAGTTCCCACCACAATGTTTTAAAAAGGTTGCTTCAGCAAAAAAGCAACAAAAGCTGAAGTCCCAGCCCCTCCATGAAGCTTTGTGAAAAAGTTCAGTCAAATTACATTAAGTTTGGTAATTTAGTGATTACTTTGTCAAAATACAATTGATTATTTTTCAGATCATCTGAATAAGGAGTCTATGGGAAGGATATTGTTAGTAGACTCCATATGTAAATATATGGTCATTTTTTTTTTTTTTTTAAACAATTTGTTTTCACTGGTTCTCTTTTAAATGTATGCTAGAAAAATAAGGGGTAAAACTGGATAAAATTAGCTGGTATTTAAAATACAGAAGCTAGGGTTTTATTAAAATAGTTTAAAATCTGGTATTTAAAATACAGAAGTTAGGGTTTTATTAAAATAGTTTAAAATCTGTCCCAGGCAAAAAAAAATTTGAATCCTAAACTTTTTTTTATTATTATTGAAGTCTAAGAGAAAAAAAGTTTATACGGTTATTGAAAAAAACATGAACTTAAGGAGATGAACCATCTATGCGTATGTTCTAACAGGGCATAAAACCCTAAACATCCACTTCAAGCTAAGCATCTAGAAACAAAGATCTGATCTGTGTTCACTGAGGACACAAATTGAGAAAAATTTCCAAAATCAAACCTAAAACAGATTTTAGATACCATGACCACAAACAACTCGTTAAAAAACAGATAGCATCACTCTTGCCTTTTTCACTCATACCCCCGAAAAAGACTATACTGCTGAAAAGTAAACACCAAAGGAACATTGGCAAACACATTTTTACAATTTCAAACACAGATAATTATATTTTTCTTTACAAACGATATTTCTTTTAATGACTTGCTGTACAAAGGTCTTTATAGTCCATTATTTGCAGCCTGTAGGTTTTTTCTAATGCATTTCCTGCATGTGCCATGTAGGATCAGACATGTCCAATACAATCTGCAATACAATAAAACTGCAGAGAAATGTTCAGGGAGGCACTATGATGTTCTTTCACGGGTTTCTCTTTAGTCTACATGTTCAGCAAAAATCACACCAATGAGAAACAGTAGGGGCAGAAACCAAAGTACAGGGTCTTATTCTTTGAACTCCAAAAACTGCTGCAGTCTCTTCCGGTGCTCTGCAGACATCTGAACAGCACTGAAATTTGAAAAAGAAAAAAAAAGTATTAGTCTGTGCAGAATATGGAATGCCTCAATTAGTATATCTTTGTTCTTAAAAGTTTTTTTTTTTTTTTTACTTTAAGTGATTTCCAAAGGTGGTGGTTATCCTGTAAATGGCGGTCTTGAGTGTGGCTCTGAGAGCAAAACGCAGGGTTTTGTAGGTGAATTCTTCCATGCTGTTGGTGGATCTGAGTGGCTTGCTGGAAGCATGGGGCAGCTTGAAGTGTCGATCCACAGCCTGCAGACGAAATGACATGAGTTAGTCTTTGCAACATCTGAAGCTAGGCAGGGAAAGCTTATTCCAGTGGCAAGACAGGTCAGGGTGCTCAACCTGAGAAATGTAGGTTGTAGTGGCATAGAGGCAACACAACATAATTAAAGAGAATAAAAGTTAATCATTAAAATAAGATGGTTATAGAGTCCTGCAAAAGTATCCCGCCCCCTTAAACTTTTCGACCTTTTGAAACATTTGTGGCTTCAGACAAAGATATAAAATTACAATTTTTTGCAAAGAATCAACAAGTGGGACACAACCATGAAGTGCAGCAAAATTTATTGGATATTTTATACTTTTAAGAAACAAGAAACTGAAGAGTGGGGAGCGTCAAATTAATCAGCCCCTTTACCATCAGTGCAGCAAACTCTTCAGAAGTTCAGAGAGGATCTCTAAATGATCCAATGTTGACCTAAATGACTGATGATAATAAATAGAATCCACGTGTGTTTTTAAGTCTGTATAAACCTGCACTGTGACAGTCTCAGAGGTCTGTTTAAAGTGCAGAGAGCATCATGAAGAACAATGAGCACACCTGGCCAGTCTGAGATACTGTTGTGGTAAAATTTAAAGTCGGCTTTAAACATCCCAAGGAGAACTGTGCAATTTATAATATTGTAATAGAAGGAGGACCAGACTGCTTTGAATCTACAAATACCCTGCCATCCCTCTAAACTTTCAGCTCAAAGAAGAAGAAGACTGAACGGAGATGCAGCCAAGAGGCCGATGATCACTTTGATTGAACTGCAGAGATCTACAGCTGAGTTGGGAAGCTCTGTTCATAGGACATCAATCAGTCGTATACTGCACAAATCTGCATTTTATGAAAGATATTTCTTTAATATAGCCATAAAAAGTTTAATTTAAAGTTTGCCACAAGCCTCCTGGGAGACACAGCAAATAAGGAAGACGCTGCTCTGGTCAGATGAAACCAAAATTAAACTTTCTGGCAACAATGAACAAAAACAGCATATTTGGCACAGCTCATCACCCTGAACACACCAACCACACTGTCAAGTGTGGTGGCTGCATCATGGTTTGGGTGTGTTTTACATTCAACAGGGAAGATGGTTAAAATTGATGGGAATATGAATGGAGCAAAATACAGGAGCATTCTGGAAGAAAACCTGTTAGGAGTCTGCAGATGACTTGAGTGGAGATTTATCTTCTAACAAGACAATGATCCAAAACATAAAGCAAAATTTACAATAGAATGGTTCACAATTAAACACATCCAGGTGTTAGAATGGCCAAGTTTAGACCTGAATCTGTGGAAAGAACTGAAAACTGCTGTTCAAACGCTCTCCATCCAGCCTCATTGAGCTCCAGCTGTTTTGCAGGAAGGGGAAAAAATTCCATCTCTCAATGCAGAACTGATGGACATACCCCAAGAGACTACAGCTGTAATCACATCAAAAGATGGTGCTGCAAACTATTAAGTCAAGGGGGCTGAGTAATTTTACACACCCAATTTTTTGTTGTTAAAGTTATAAATATCCGTTAAATTTTGTTCCTTTTCAAATTTTATATAACTATGTTAGAAGCCTGAAATGTTGCAAAAGGCTGAGAAGTTCAACGACAAATTCACTCAAAGAATATATATTAATCTTGATTGTATAGCGTTTCATTACTTTATTTCAGATTAGTGGAGCATAAAAAACACAGCTTTTCCATTTTTGATTCTTGGTAAACAAAGATTTGAGTTTTGATTTTAGTCGTCTCTAATGTAAAGCTACCCACTTCCTACAAGCATGATTTAAACCCATCCAGTGATTTACCAGAAAGGATAACCCAGTTTTCCAGGCATTCTGATAAAATAAAAGTGATCAATAGTGTAGAATGCTGCACTAAGGTCCAAAAGCACCATCGTTGTGGTTCTTCCAGTCAGCATTTATATGGATGTGTGAACCAGTCTCTGCAATGTGGCGAGGACAGAAGCCTGACTGGACGACTTCAAACTGCTTGGTCATTGTTAGGAAGGTGTAGAAACCCACCTGGTGGGTTTTTCTTTTTAAACCTTCAAATAAGTAATTTACTTACAAATGACCAACTTCTATAGTTTTTTTTTTTTTCTGAAAAACAAAACAAAAGGAACAATCCTGACTGCAGCTAGTAATAAAGTAGAGCAGAATTTGGCTACAGAAATCCCTCTCATAAAAAAAAATAAATAAAAAAAAATCGCAACTTGCCTCTTGTAAGTGCAGCATGGAGCTGAGAATGCTGGGTAATGTAGTCTGAACAACTCCAAACTGATCCTCTGTGAAGGATGCCTGAACAAGGTAAGACAGCGCTGCAGGACGGATACAGGAGGAAATGAGAAACATGCTGCAGTAGTGAGTTTAATTTAATTGGTCATTGAAGCAGAGATAACTCTTCCTACCTTCTAGCGCCCAGATGTGAGCCTGACTGTCTGCGAAGAGAGCCTGACTAGAGGCTTCCGGAAGCTGCAGAAGAAAACAGTCAGCAAAAACTTTTATTTAAAAGATTTAACCCCAACAATAAGACTTATAAAGCAGTATTATGTGACGAGGAATTCTACAACTTAGAAGTTTCTGCATTAAAAATCCTTTTTGGAATAGACATTCAAAATTACTGAACTGAAGACTTAGCACACTTTGCTCTTTTACTATAATAATTAAATAAAATAAGCTTTTTAATGAAATTCTAATTAATTAAAATAAGAATAAACTTTTAGAAGGTTGGATTCTTCTTCAAAAGTAATTGTTTTTTTTGTTCTTAACATTACACTGTAAGTAAATTTAATTTGTCTTTTTTTTTTAAATAAACATGAAACACAAAAGTCACTCGTAAATATCTAAACGTTTCTTTCCAACATGCACGGCTGTAAATCAAGAGTTGGTGACATTTGTGGGTCTAATGACATGCAGCAGTCAGAGGAAGGAGCATAAATCTCAGGAGACAAAGTACCAACAACTGTACATTGGTGACACGTAATTGACACAGCAAGAGCCTCAAAGTGATTAGAAAAGTTTCATCAATATTTCATTAACACAAATATCACAGGTTCCATCACCAAGCAGGAGTTTCGCAGGACATGTTACATGACTCCTTAATCCAAGCTTTTAAGGTAATTAGCAAGGCTCAGTGTAACAGCTAGATGGAAAAGAGCTACATTAGTAATGCAAACAAGATAAGGCCCAGAACCAGAAGGTGGATTAGTGATTGTTAGAGATAAATGAACATCTATGTCAGATATGAGCATGCAGCCGCCCCTCGGTGTTCATGCATATAGTTACCACATCCTTACCTTGTTAAACAAATACATTATCAGCACTCGCTTTGCCATGAACATTTTAACCTGAATGAGACAAGCAAGTAAAGAAGTGGTTTGATATTAAACAGATAAGGGTTTTAAATAATAGACATCACTCATCCTAAACCACTGTTTAAAGTGGAGACATGCTTCCAGGAAAAAAGGCAGAAAACTGCAACTAGGATTCCTTATAAATCACCTTTTCAACAAATTTAAATGATCTAGAATGTTTTAAGTTACACACAGACACTGGCTTCTTTTAGCTCTACTATCTGACAAGAAAAACAAGTTTGATTTCAATCTGATTACAGTTTTTGAGTGAATAAATCTTAAGTGCAAAACTGGAAAGACTAACAGGGCATTTTTTAATTCAGGCTGCTTAAATGTTTAAAGTTTCAATCGGCATCATCCACTCAAATACTGTAAAACAGCAATATTTCAAATCTCTCCGATACAATGAAACGATAAACACAAACTAATAGTATGGATGCTGTTTAATCCTAACATTCTTATTCAAAATATGAGAGATTCATCCCCATAAAAAGATGCTTTGATGCAACTGAGCATCTCTCTGCATTTGCAGAAGAGCATCGTGACCGGAGATCACTTCGAGTAGCTTTTTTCATTTTCTCCATATTTATGCATTAATAATGATACCCAACTAGGGCAAGGCGGTTAATTGTATCTTAATCTGGAGTACAATCTGGGTTTTCAATGATCATAGCAATGAAAACATCAATTATTTTGCTCCTTCACACAGAGTTAACTCCCATGCCATTTCTGTTGCAAATTGAGTGCTCTGCTGTAGACTCATTAATCATGCAGATATTTTTCTTATTTTGTTTTACCCCAGACTTATTTGGTTCTAACGCAGACTAAGATGTCGCATTAAGATGTGAAATGTGACGTGACCAGGCTGCTGGTGCTGCGTCAATACAAGCGTCTCCTCCAAGCTGTTTACATGTTGGTCCCTGCTGTGGGTGCATATCACTTCTGGTGATATGCACCCACAGGATCAGGGAGAGCCCAGTAACTCAGAGGAAGCAATCTGTAAACTGTTTGGTTAAATAAGTACCATTAAACTCTGAAGCAACAGCGGAAAGCAGTGCATTGAGCCGCTGTATCAGCTGGTTGATGCAGCTGCTGGGTCACATTGTGCTCTGGAGGAGAATTGCAACAGTTTAGAGTTCAAGTTTATGTTATATTACAAATATAATTCCTTTATCAGCTACATGCAGTACAGCATAAGAGGCTCCTTCGGAGAAGCGAACGTCTAGATCAACAGGCTGCTGCGTGCATCAGATTGAACTCCTGTATCGTAGCTCTGCAGGACTTATTCGGTTCATAAAAGCAGAATCAAAGCTACCACTGGTCATAAACCCAGAGGCTACATGGAACAGAAGAAACGTCCGTCAAGACATGGCAGCCAGTGATGCCTTTAGGCAAATCATTATCCAGTCCTCCCAGTATTTATAATATATTACCCGCCTGTGGCGGTTCCTCCAACTCTTTCAGTGCCAGTATTTTAATGTTTCTTTCACACAGCATATCTGTTTTAGGATGTTTGCTAATATGGGTGCACACATTTAGTAAACACCTTATGTACAGTATCTGAAGATCACAGTTTTTTTTTTGCTGAGGTTGAAGGAAGTAGCTCGGGGAGCAAATATGATGTAACACCAGGAGGTGAGTGAATCGTACAAGCAGCTGAAAGAGGGGGACTCGACTCTGCAAATGCTGGCAAAAAGTCAAAGATCCACTGTTCAAAAATACATTTTGGTGTTTAAATGTCTTAGTTTCACATTTGTGTTGTAGTTATAATTTGTAGTTTTCAGTTAGTCGTCTAAGTTTATTTATTGTTAGTTTTCTCCCTCCTCTCCTTGTTGTTTGTAGGGTAGCCTATGTGTTTGAATACCCCTGTGTTCATTGTGGAGGTCATTTCAAGTTTGTTATTCTTGGTTAGATTTGTCCAAGTTTTCTTTTGAGCCCATTTTCCCCCCAGAATTTTGAGACTTTTGATGGATTTCGTTTGTTATTACCATGGCAAAAATGGAAGATTATTTTTCTACACCTTTGTACTTTGCCTGACTGATCAGTCCCTGACACCCCTACAAAAAAAAAAAAATCTAGGATTAACGCTGGTAACTTCATTTGCCTCCCACTGGAGAAAATTAGCGTTTTAGTCACTGTTAATGTTCAATTATTTAAAGTTTATGAATAATTGTGCTAAAAAAATAGAGATATGAATTTTTCCCATAACTGAGCAGCCCTATACCTGAATAAGGCAGCACCCTCACTGCCTTGAGGCTCAACAGAAATCCTCTCTAGTGCTTTATTCCAAAATTGTTTTTTGGAATAAAGTTGTGAAAAACTTAAAACCAAAATATTGTTATACAGTTCTGAAAATCTCTGAGCAGAGTTTGACCAGTCATCTAAAAATAAGTGTTACGGAAACAGAGGTCCCATATTGAAACATGGCGGTGGCACTGAATGCATCTTTCTCTTAAGTTTTCATACACTTTCTGTTGACATAACAAAAAAAACCCAATAAAATAAATTGTTATTTCTTGCTACACAAAAGAATATCCAAAGGCGTTAATCATAAGGCAAATACTTTTGCTTGGCACTGCAATAAGCTCATAACTTTGTTCTGTGATGATGTCTTAGTACCTGTTCTTTTCTATTCTGAAGGAATTGCCCCAGAAAACTCGGTTTGGCAGGTTCTTGTTTTGGACTGGGAACCGAGGCTGGAGAGGGTGGCGAGCTGCTGCTGACCTGCGACTCTGAGAACAGACGCATAAGCTCATTACTTATGCTTAAAAGTAAAAACAGGTGGACATCAGAAGTTAAGTAGTGTAAGCTGTATGCTTAAACATTGAGACAAATAAATGTAAAACAGGCTGACTTAAAGCCTCCTCTGACCTGTGGAGGTGGACCAGAGTTTGGGCACCCTTCTCATGATGTGTGGGCTCTGCACCGAGCCGTGCCACGGCGAGCACTGATCAACCTGAGCAGTAAGGCGACGCAGAACGGGGGAAGCGAAAGGGCTGTCCAGGTCGGGCGTGAACGGTGCTGTCAGGGGGCTGTGCGGCCCTCCGGCAACCGAACGTGTAAAAACAGAAGCTGGAGTCCTCATTAGGAAAGTGGGTCTGGGACTCATCAGGTCTTCCGTACCGGAGGTTACTTAAATGTCAGTAGAAAATATAAAAACATTATTAATTTGGAAATTAATCCTAATAAAGCACATATAAGAAGAATTACCTGATGTTTCAGAGGAACTTTTCCTTTCACTTCCACTTGACAGAGATTTGGCTCTCCCGTTGGTCGCTACGGTTTCATGATACGCCACAAGCCTCTGCGTGAGATCAGCCAGCAGAGCCAGACACTCTTTACTCACCGTGTTCCAGTTATGAGGATGCCCACCTGACAAATATGAAAAAAAGAAAATAACTTTTTGACTTAAACTGAAACCAGCAGGTTTTCAACAGAAGGAGAAAAATATAAAGCATATTATTTTGGGTGTGAAAATCAGGGCAGACCTGGCTGACTGAGACTGAAGACTTCACTGCGTCTTAATGGAGAATGTTTGGACAACAGAGACAAGTCCTGCAGGGCTAGAAACTAACATTTAAAAAGGGGAAAGGGTCACTGAGCAATTAATTATAATCCAATAATCTGCAAGTCATATTTTCTATGTACCTTCGAGATCATTGGTTGTTTATCAGCAAGAACTTTGGGAAGACACAGGTGGGAATCATCAGTAAAAGTTGACTGGACAGGAAAGCTGTACACCTGCAGAAAGAAATTGTGTCTGTAGAGACATTATCTTCACTTATTAAGATAATGCATTTATGCTGGGATTGTTATGATCCTTAAACAGGCGTAACATTAAAACTGTGGGGTTAGAGATAAATTAAAGGCAAATGGTGCATTCAGAGTGAGCTTGGTGTCCACTAAGATTTTTCACAAGCCCTGCGGGTAGTTCACTGCTCTGCATTTTAGATGCAGTGTTTACACCCTCGACCCCGTCATCAAATTAGAGGAGTTTCAGCTACAGGAAGCCGACACCCCACTGACGTGGATACAAAACTCAGCAAATAGATTAAAGAGTGAGTGTAGGTTTGTACATCTAAAATATTTATTTGTAAAAATGAAAAAAAAAAAAACACAAACAAAAAGAAAGTGCATGCTACTGGTTTCAAGATGATTTTTTTTAGGTTATCCAGAGGTAAACTATCCCCCCATTAAGCTCCAAATTGAATAAGACGCATCTTCTTTTTTCAGCCCTATTTCCTTTGTCCAGGTAAAACTATCCCTTGTGCTGATTTGGTTTTTAAGATAGAATTATTTTTAATTATGGCCGATGATGTCGCATTCCTGGCAGATGTTAGAGCTGCGCTCGTTTCAGGATATTAACTTATTGAGAAACATCACATGTTTATCTGTTTTAGTGGCTGGAATGATTATTCAATATTTAATTAATCACCAGCTTCCCAGACCCTCAGCTTTGGACCTGCCGTTACCCCTGGCAACCCCATATCATTTCCTGTCAAGATCTCTCATTTTACAATAAAAGCACAGGTGAACCTTAACATCAAGGACTGCTGCTAACTTGTTTTCTATGAACAACTTTTGAATCGCCTTGGGGAGACCATGATTTTTTTTGAAAAGCCCCAAAAGCTCTAAAGGAGAAAAAAAAAAAAAAAAAAAAAAAAAAGGCTTTGGTTCGGTCGGATTTGGTAGGACTTCCTTATAAATCTACCCCTTCAGAAAGCACAGATGCTGGGCAGTGGGCAGCGACAGACTCTGCTCTGTGCTGGAGGTAAGTTGCTGATTAACAGTCCGTCTAGGACTAAATTAAATTGGCTTTTTTTTTAAGCCACCTAAAAACCTCTTTAGAGCATTCTTTACTTTTACCTTTTTAACATCATGTTCTCTGTATTCCATATTAAGTGAAAAAAAAAAAAAAAAACTTCACCTAAAACCAATCCCTGATTGGCTGCAGAGTCGCGATTTCATAGAAAAGTCTAGCTAGTTTCACTGATCACTGCTCCTCTCTCTCCATGCAGTGCAGCTGTTTGACAACACCTCAGCTCTATCTAGTAGCATGAAGTGAGAGCAAAGCAGTGACAACTATCACCATGAGATTCATCGCTGGCCGCTTCCCCACTCTTCGCCGCATGGTTTACATAAGAATTCAATGTGTATCCACAGAACTCGCCGCGGACACCGGGTCCGCTCTGAACGCACAATAAGAGATTTAAAGTTGTGGGTTTTTTTTTTCTCTTAACAAATAAATGAAAAGTATTCTGTGTATTTACATTCAACACCCTTAACTCTGGTAGGCCTAAATAAAATCAAATACAACAAGCTGCATTCCTAGGAAACCTTATACAAAATATTTTTCTTAGTAAAATGCACCATTTTTATTGGTCCCTTACACATGAAAAAAATATATGTTTACAATGAAGTTTGTTGTCTAAATCTGCAAAGGTTAAAGAAATACCAACACAATCCTGCTGCACGGCTTTTAAATAAAATGTAGAAATAACATAAAAAGAAATTAGAGCATAATATATGTATCTTAATTTAGAAAGCATTTTGTTAAAGATGGATTTGAGTAAACACTAACATCATTTACTCAAAGCACTTTCTGTAATTTTAACATCCAGCGCAGCTGTAATTTACCGTAATTTTCGGACTATAAGCCGCAACTTTTTGCCCATTTTTCGACCTTGGGGTTTATACAACAATGCGGCTTATCTATGGACTTTTACAGCTAATGGCCACTAGGGTAATACAGTACCTAAATCTATGGATTTTACCATTCACCATGTTGACGTCACATGTGCTTCAACACACAAGTAGCCGCGCGCGTGGGAATCAGGACATCCTCTGGAAGCAGACTCAGAGAAAGACGGACATTGCGAGCGCAAGACAGTTTGTGTGACACCCTCATAATGGAAAACAAACGTTGAAATGCATATGATGCAGCTTTTAAGTTAAAGGCAGTCAGGTTGGCAGTAAACGAAGGAAATAGAACTGCTGCACGTAACCTTGGAATCAACGAGTCAATAGTGAGACGTTGGAGACGTCAGCAGGAAGAATGGTCTCAATTCAATTGTGTTGAAATGTTAATAAATAGGAGCTTCCCCAAACAGTTGCCTCTTTCCCCAACAATCCTCTCTGTGCACGAACCATATGGTAATTAAACGTAAAAAAGCCTGCGGTTTATAGTCCGGTGCGGCTTGTATATGTACAAATCATGCAATTTAGCTTCTGTGGCTTATATTCAGGTGCGGCTTATAGTCCGAAAATTACGGTACTTAAGACGATAAACGTAACCTTAGGGTACTCCATTTACCATATAGTCAGATCAGACATTGAATGAATTGAAAAGTCTACTCAAACATATTGTATGTACACATTTTATGTAACGGTGTTAGTATTCCATCACAAATGGATACTTTTACAGTGACTGTGTAGGAGAAAATTAATAAAATAAAAATAAATGAGTTCACACACCTCTGTGACAAAGATCCTAAAAAGCAGCAATGTGATGTACCAAGTGAAGAGGAGGAAGGACGCATTGATCCAGAGGTGGTAGAGGAGGGAGAGGTCCACAAGTCCAGAAATGCTGTCAAGAGGATGGACAGAGCTGGAGGAGGAGAGGAGATTTACACAACAATCTTTATCCAATTCCTCTCAAAGCTCTGAAAGCCCAACAAAATATACAAAACTTGTTTCTAAAACGTTTACCTGTCCAAATGAAGATTCAGAGTTTTGCAGATCCATGTTTTCGGAATGTAACCTAAACAAAGCGATTCATATCAATATAAATGTGCAAAAAGGGAAAACTGGTTGCCATTATAGGAATTTCCATTAAATAACAGTTCAAAGTACACTTTATGTCTAAGACTTGATTCAAATTTCTTTAAATAAAAAGTCTTTGGAAAAGCAGGCACTTACCCAGAAAGAAATAAACAATAATGAAGTTCCTAACAGAGTAAAATGCTTGAATTGTGCTGCATTTCAGCACTAAAGGCAGGGACCCCTTGAAGTGGAGGTATTTGTATTGCTGAGGAGACAGAAATTGGTTTACCATAAGTAAGAGGTATAAATCAGTATTATCGTTTGCAGTACAGGTTGTTGGGAAAGCAGATTGCATGTCAGAAGATTACATACACCCATCTCAGATGTGAATCTTGTTAATATTTGTCTAAAGGATTTATTTTAACTGAATTAATGGGAATAAAGTGATTTCAAGTAAAAAGTTTGACGTTTCAAAAAAAATATTCCAAATGTATACATTTAATGGTGGTTTTATCTTATTTAAAAAGTCACTGTTAATGTTAAATTTTTTGAAGTTTATGAATAATTGTGCTAAAGAGATCTTATCATTAAAAAAGATATGTCTGTTAAAGTCTAGATTTTAATTAGCAAGTTTCAGAAGCAAATCACAGTATCAAAGTTATCAAGTTTCTGGCAGATATCCGACTTGTTCTCATGGCAGCGAGGGTTTATTTCTTTATTTCATCTCCATTTTGAGTGTTCAATTTTCTGGCACAAACTCAACTGTTAAGCATTATATAAAATGTTTATTATTAATATTTGTTATAATCAACATCCTGAAATATACGCATCCAGACTGAGTGACATTATTAATGATGCTCATGTGACAAACCTGAACAGTTTGAAAGCAGACATAATTCATGTTATGGATCACTCCCAGCAGACTGTGAGAAAACCCAACAAATGCTCCCGCCAGCAAAAAGACAAGGTGGTACTCATTCAGGTACATCTGAGGTTGACTGTTGGGGATGAAAGATACAGAAGGAGTTAGATTTTGGTTGAAGTGCTAAACACTCAAAAAATACTCATGTCTTACCCATCACTACTTTTACCAGGGTACCCGAGGGTCTCATATCTTTGACCCACGGTGACAGCGCAACACCAGCCGACAACCATCCCCATTAGACAGTGGGCAAGGGAGCTGATAACCTGGCGAGGGTGGAGCAGCTGACCCAACAACGCAATTTTTGAGCAGGCAATAGTCGGGATAACTACAGATACAGAGAGATTTATTAAAACTTTTTTTTATAGAATCTACCCATAGAAACCTGAAAAGATTAACAGGAGTGTAATAAAGCAGTTTATGGGTAGCACTCATGCTAATAAAAAAAAAATCTCTTAATATTGTGTTGTTTTTAGTCTTTCTGTTAAGAAAATCATAAAAAACAACATCTAAACCACTCACCCGTAAAATACTCCAAAATCAAGAACCCCACCATGATGACGACTCCACTGAGCAGTATGAAGGAGAAAACCGAACTGGCACTCATCAGCAGAGACAGGCATTCTGGTGTCACAAGAAAATCGTTTTTTATTCATTTATCTTTATATATACAATGTGTTCTATCAACAAAACAAGTGTGGTGACTGACCTGAAATTGTCTGGATGGGGTGAAGAAAACTGAACTTGCTGAGCGTGATAAAGACTGCAGTGGTGGGCAGCAACAACAGGACAGACCAGGCAATGCTGGCAGCAGCTCTCCACCAGATAACCTTAAAGAGGACATTTTGATAAAGACTAAAAACAGCTGTACAGCAAAACCCAGCTAAGAATTTACCAAAGCATTTATAAGTACATTAAATATTAGCTTATCCTTGTAGTTGTCTTAATAAACGTAAACATTGTATTTAGTCTCATACTACCATGTTTTCAATTATTCTTAAATGTCCTGCTTGCAAAAGGGAGGATTTTTTTAGAACCTAAATTTAGAATAAACCTGATTTTGTTAGTTAAATCCTTGCTGTGAAGAAAGGAAGTGAGAATGTGCTATATTCTTAAAGGAGGATGGTAGAAAATTTGACATTGATGTCATTAAATTTGGGGGCTTATTTACTGTGCTGCCTAAAATAGACTATAACCTGCAGCTTCCATCCAAAAATAGACAGCTTGGTTCAGAGGATTAAATTATAGACAAAACTGGGTGTTCAAACTATACAGCGAACCCAAAAACATCAAACCTATTTTCACATGGCAGAGCAGACTGATTTCAGGCTCCTACACTAGCTCTGATTTTAACCATATCGTGAACTTTCATTCAAAAACTGTCTCAGGGAAACTCACTGTTAAAATGAACTATAAAAGATATTCAATATACTGCAACAAGTATGCAAAATAAATCTTGATGGCGACTAAAAAGCAGTTTTGAAAAAAGAAGTTATGCGTGTTGGTTTGACTTTGTATGCAGAGGCGTAGCCGGAAATTTGGGTGGCCAGAAATAAGGGTGGCCAGGCAATAACCAATGTACACTGAGGGGTGGCGGAAAGTAACCTGACAACAGCCAGATGCATGTCTCGCTCCGCCTAGCTCCGCTCACATACATCTGGGAACCCGCCATAGGAATTGCCTTTACTGAAGGCTGGGCCTTATCAAAACTCCTTGCATATGATTGGATAAGCCACTTGTCTGTCATCTTTATTGACGTGCTATTTCAACCACTCACACTGAAGCTAACCCGTGACGCTGTGAGAGGAGGAGCCATTTGGTAGATCAAGCTCTTGCCAAATCCGGTCGGGAGAAGGGCGAAAACATCGTTTCCACCAACAAAAGCCTTCAAAGCCGTTCTCTGATGTTCTTTTGATGAAACAATATCAGATAGATTGGACAACCCAGAAGAAATAGCAGCATCAATGCTAACGCTTGCTTCCTCAATGCGAGCCGCCATTGTTGTTGGAATCTCACGGTCGCTTCTCCACTCCAGGACACACCCGCCCTGCGTCCTGATTGGACAGACCATAAATTCGGTTGGGGAAATCACTTTCAATGAGCGGGTTCCCAGATGTATTTGAGTGGAGCTGGGCGGAGCGAGACATGCATCTGGCTGTTGTCAGGTTAGGCGGAAAGTGGATCGGCACCAGAACCTCAGGGTCAATCTATAATGTTTCCACAGCAAAATTAAAAAGCAAAACATCCATATTTTCTAAATAAAGCCAAAATATACTTTCCTACAGCCTTTGCTAACAAATGGACACATATATTTAAACATCCATGATTTCTAGATAAAAGGTGTAGTGGATAAAACTCTTTCAGTTTTGAGTTCTGGGGCGTAAATCGTTTCCATTGTTATTACTTACCTGCTTGTATCAATAAACCTTCGGCATAAAATTTACATTTACAAGCACTAGTATCTACATAAATTTATTATTTGATAAGTTTATATAAAAATTTGTTTTTTATTGATAATTTCACGGAAGATAATGTTCTATATACCCCATAAAACACAACATCTAGTTCTGAAAAGAGCAGGAATTCTGTACTTATCATCTTTGATGTTAGAATATTGATGTGTTTAATTAACCACAAAAAAATTTAATGTTTTGAATATTCCACTTCAGGGTATCACTGCTGCCGTCCTCTGTATCAGAGGGAAATAAATAGTAGGGATGGCCAATGATTGGCTAAGGGTGGCCATGGCCACCCCTGGCCACCCATCTAGCTCCGCCCCTGTGTGTACGGTTTTATGCAGTTTACCTTCTGTAATAATCGTTGATGTTAGAAAAATGAGTCTCTCGAAATAAGAAAAAAAAAACTCTCGTCTTGTAACCGATATCATTTTCAAATGACTTCTGCTTAAAAACGGAGGAAAAGCTCGATCTGGTAAAAGTATCAACACAAAGATCCCAATGTTTACATCAACATTTATTTGTGCATGTTGGATCTACGTTTTTCACCTGCATCAAAACATTATCTCAACATTTTCTATGAATAGCCTTAGTCGTAGAATATATCTGTGTTAATACCAAGTAAACTTTGTCTTCTGTCAACTTAGATTTTGTTCCTGTATTTGTAATATTTTTTTAGCGTAACATACATAAACACACATATTTAGCCCGTATTTTTTTAAACGCTAGTTATATGAAGAAGCTAATTTAAAACTCCTTTCAAAACAGTGCATTGTAAAACTAAACTCCAGAAAGCTAGCATCAACAAATGGAGTAGAGGGTTAGCCGCTTAGCTAATGCAAGGCTATTTGTAGTTCCTTTAAATTCACTGTCAATACAAGTAAAAAAAAGACTCACCTTGCTAATAAACCAGCTGCTCGTGTTAGGAGAAAACATGGTGTTTGTCTGACAATAACCTCTCTATAAATAGAAAAGACGTTTTCAGCTCCCCGGCTGTCAAATTATGTTAGCCTCCCGGTGTCCACATCGCGCCACATGCATTCAAGACACCGTTAAAAGGACCCCGATTAATAGGTGTCTGTGAAACTGCCTGTTGCCGACGTTTCTACTTTAGATAAGCCCGTTCTAGTTTAAATGTTTCAGTAAATGCAGAGTTGAATTGAAATTATCATCACTCATATTCAAGTTTGAAAAATTCTTAAAACCATTCTAGTTTTAATATGAATTTAATGAAGTACAAATCAAGCTGTTCTGAGAGCCTCTGATATATATATATATATATATATATATATATATATATATATATATAAGACTATTCGTGTGACTGATAAATTGCTTTAGTGCCACCACATATGGGAGACAACTGTGTCATTGCTTGTGTTGAACTGCTCAAAGTTAACCAATAAGTTATAATATATTAATCAGTAATAATGATTTTAACTATATAAATGGATACTGGTGAGTCTGGAAATGTGACTTTTACTGTTTAAATTAAATACTGAAATAAATGAACTTTTAGACAATATTCAACATCCTTAAATGCAAAGGTATTCAATTATAATATGTTAAACCTCTTATTCTACATTAATTATTTCAAATTCGAGATATTTTGGCAGTATAATCAACCATATATAAAAGAAATAAAAATACGAGAGCTAAAATACAAAATGTGCCAAAACTGTGCCAATGTCTCTCCCTTCTGGCTCCTCACAGTTGTTGATTTTTTTTTTGTTTTTTTTTTTAATGTGAGTTGTATTTGTCATAAAAAAATCTTAATCGATTCTAGAAATACTACCCTATAATGTATAAAGTATTTAAATGATTTAATTTCTTTATACATTAGGCCTATAGAGTAGAAATACTATTCTATAATGTATAAAAAATAATCATTTAAATACACACATATATATATACATATAAAAAGACTAAACACAAACTCATATACATACAGCTAAATGCTCAAAAATAAATCTGCTTAACAAGACAGCTCGGTTTGATGTGACAATATATATTTAAGTAAATATACATGATGAGTCTCGGTTTAGACATGCATTAGACAGTTATTGAGCAATTATCAAAATCATTCAATCAATGTCACTGTTTTTGTTTTTTATAAGACAGAACTAAACCAAGTCTTATTAGGTTCCATGATGAAAAGTCTTTGCCAAAGGACAAAAATCTCTGTTTGTCCAAACCTCTGCTTTAGTCACAGTCCTAAGTTATCTGTTTTGTCTCAAAGGCATTAGATGGGAGCTTCTGATATGCGCTTATGGACATGTCAGTTTGAACTTCTTTGTGGGTAAAGGGTCTCTGAATAATGGCAGGAAGAGCATTTTGCTCCCTCTGTGTCTTCTTGTCTTCCCACAGCTTTAGCAGACGCCTCTGGTTGTTTGTCATATCTTTGAGGTTTTGCTGTAACGACTGCACTTGTTCCTCCAAAAGTGTCTTGGAGGTGGCCACATTTGACAACTCTGCGGTCAAGTCATCAATGGTTTGACTAAGTTTCCCGGTCTTCTCTACTAATGAGCTGCACTCACGTTCCTTTTCTTGCAAATCATTGACGATGTCTTTTGTAGTCTTCCCAGTGAATTTGGGGCTGCTCTCAAGTCCAATATCCACTCGAAGAGCCTTCACTTGCTTTCTAAGCTCTTTGTTGTCCATGGTCAATATTTTCAGTTTCTGTTTCATACTCTCGCTGGAACGCAACCTTGCCTCATTCTGCCTGAGCCTTTCCCTCAGAGCACTTTCCCGTTGCAAAGCTTCATCTCTTTCCTTTCGGCAATTCTCCAAAAGTTTCAGCATCTCAAATTTGGAGGATTTTTCAGCTTTACCACCGGAGGAGGCCATCCTGCAGAGAGTTGTCCAAATCAAAAACTAATGGAAATTGATTGCCTTTCTTCTGAAGAAAAAAAAGAGGGTCCTTTAGTGGGGTGTTAATGAATCCACAGGCATAACTGCGACTGTGATAGGTGACATTCCTTTAAGAGGTTTGTCAGTAAGACAAGGAGGCTCCGCTGTAACTCAAAGCTGAGGCTAGAATGACCATTAATTATGGCACCACCATGTCATTGACACAGTGTCAAGTGACCCATTTCTTTTCTCGATTTTGTTAATTAATCTAGAAACTTCTGCCCTTGTTAATCAGTGCAAACAAAGGGTGAAATCTTAATGACCTTCTCTCACTGGTAAGAATACCAACTCTACAGTGAGTCTGTATGTGCTTCCAGACAGAGCTGAACATTTTCCACTGGAGGCCATCCAAACTGTCACACTAGATTTTTATCAGTTTTACCTGCCATGCAACAGCTAAGATGGAGGAGTCAGAAGGTGGATGGTGGGGGCCTATCATCCAGCTTTTAAGGTCAGACACTCTCTTGTTAACGTTGAATCTACACCTATTGGGTACAATGTCACCTTTAAATATTCAAAATGTCCAGCTGTGGAAATGGACATGCAACTTCTAACAGTAACAAGGAGCTGATTGAAGGGTCACATTGCCTATCTTGTGACAGCTGAGGTGAGTTAAGGTCCCCAAGCCTAAAATGTTTTAAACGACACAAAAGTGCAAATTAATTGGTCTAAAATGCGCTGTCATATAACCTTTAAAGGATTTTAATTGGGAATTCAAATAAGTTAGTATTAGTCATATTGGATGGACTAGGGCTATGAACAGTTGGTTCTCTTGTTTTGCCAGTTGGAACTTTGCAGTGTGCTTCAAAGGTGTTTCAATAGCTCACTAATGCCCTCGAACATAAAGTATTCAAAGAACAGTTGCCCAATGGTGGATTTTCAAACCATTTTCAATGAATTTCTAATTGCCACCCTGCTCCAGAGGGAAGGGATGCAATATTGTTGGTCCCACTTTTAAGATTTATATTTATTAAAGCTTTTTGTAAACCATTAGTTTCATCCCACTCCCCAACTATGCACTTTTTATGCACTATTTTTGCACGCCACGTATCACTTTACTTGGATTTTCACTTTATTTGGATTTAGTTTTTACATATGCATAGATTTACGTACAGATATATATACACAGAAGAGCTATATGTGTATATATTTTATCTCTTTTTATTCTTATTTTTTTATCTTTATTATATTGTATAGTTGGATGTGTGTATATATCATATAAAACTGTAACTGGAACGTGTAACCAAAGTAATTTCCCTCTGGGATTATTATAAGTTTGAGGCTTTAACATAATCATCTTTATGAAAACAAACAACTTCAACTGACAATGATTTCAAATAAAAACAAAATATTAAATGTTAAATAGGTTTGGCTTAAAAAAATAAAGGTTTAATTAATTTCCTACTCAGGATATTACAAGTTAACTATATCAAAATGTGAACAAATTGAAAAACATCCAATTATGTTGTTTAACATGGCCTGTTAACTGGCCAAACCAAAATCCCCACAAAAAGATTTTAAACACCTGAAAACTCAGAAATGAAATCAGCTGCTGTTCTTTAATCTAGCCTGTGTTGTAAAACCATTGTATTGGCAGAAGTTAGCTTTATTATGGCAGGATGAGGCAGCAAATCAGAAGACACCACATATGTTCTGTGACCAGGTAAAAACATGACATGGATTTTCATAGACTTTATTTTGATTTGCCATAATAACAACAAACTATTCATAAAATATTTACAAAAATCACTTAAAACACTTGGCTGTGGCTAAGGGCACTTGATATTAGGAAAATAAAACACCTTTACCTCAAGAGGGTACTTATGAAACATTTTTTTAAACAAACTTGCTCTCATAAACCATTTTTTGAAAATAAACATTTTACCATTAGTGCTATAAAGCTGGAAACAACATCACTATAACAGACTAAGTGTGCTGTGTAATACTAAACCCCAATTAACTTAAGCAAGTTTAGAAGCCATCCCATTAGGAGTAACATACTTCTGACCAGTTTTCATTTTCAGAGCTTACAATGCTGCACAGAGTTTACACGCTGGCCTATAATGGCCTCAATGTCGGAGTTGCCGGTGAAATCCGGTCCACCCATGACTTCATTAGCGCAGGAACTTGAGTCTCTCTGATAAAGCAACTGGAGAACCTGTCATTTAAAAATAAACAATAACACTCACTTTAGGAAAACTAAATCGTGTAAAGGAAGTCTGGGGTCAAGTTCTCATCTTAAAGGGGTCATATAATGCAAAACAGAGTTTACATTGTCATAGATCAGGGGTAGACAAATTAAAAATAAGAATAAAGAATAAAGAAAATCAACAACCAGTAAATGTCCAGAGACATTTTTAATTATAATACATTCCTTTAAACAAAATTTAACACTGAACTAAAATTAGGTTTCTATGCATCCACGTTATACATTGATTTTTTAAATAAAAAAATATATATATAAAAAAAAGAAAATTTTTCCATTTTAAAATCTGAAGTAGAGAACAACAATCGTTCAGACTGTATAGACAGCTTCCTGATTCACATATTGTATAAAACACCTGAACTGACCGTTTGTTTTTTCTTTCTTTTTTATGGCTTAATGAGAGCATGGGGCTTTAGGCTGCCCTGCAAGGCTTTAAACTTGTGTCTGAATGGAAACAAAGCCATTCTCAAGCACATATCAAGGTGCTCATTCGTGAGCCTGTATAGATATTTATTTTTAACTATCTTCATGGTGGAGAATCCTGCTTCACAGCAGTAGGTTTAGCCAAACATTCTCAAAATGTGCAGGGTCATCTTTGAGCACACTGTTTCACTTTTCTTTCACCAGTTCACTGTGCTTCTTCCTAGCCTGGTCCCGGAGTGCTTAACCGTATAAACAGCAGAAGCGTTGCAAGTGAAATTAGACATTGTCGTTGGATAACATGTGGTAATTTTTATCTGTTTGAAATCCGTTTGGGTCCAGAATAGCCAGCAGGTGGGTCTGGATCTGGACTGGTATGACGGTATGCACGGGGCCGCCGTTGTCCAGGCTACCATCACCTGGGTCAGGTTCGGTTGCTCCATCCCAAGCTGGCTCCCTGTTTCGACTACGTGCTGCAATGAAGTAGACAAAAATCCTGGAAGATTTTGAAATTCCCCCCGGACATTTCTTTAGGTATGAAAAGTAGGACGTATCCGGGAAAAAGAAGACGTCTGGCCACTCTACCATATCAACAATCTAAATGTTTCAGAGAGTGAGTGCTTGTTGCTATGATGCGTCTTTGCTCAGCAGCTTTGCTCTTTGTAAACCAACCAATCAGCGCACACCTCGTCTAAATATTCATGAGCATACCATAAAAGGAAGAAAACCTGTCGTTTCATTCTGGGGCTTTTAACCATAAGGGCTCATAGAACAGCAAATATGCCATTTTCATCCCAACCAATGCTGCACACCCAATTCAGAGAACTTAAGGACCAGCACCAAATACCTTATAAAATCATTTTATGACCCCTTTAAGTGAATTTAAAAATAGACACACTTGATTCTTTGACTAAATAAAAATCTTCTTTCATTAATTTATGCCTGCAGTTGATTAAAAAAAGCAAGATAACCCTAATATCAGTGAAATATCAAAACACAAGACTGATAAAATAACAGGTATATATTAGATCATAACTTTTATATTTGGTTCTAAAAAGCGTCTTTAGGGTTCACCTTTGCACGATGCAGGTCCTTCATGATGATGTGCCATTGGTGGTCTTTGTTACAGGTACAGATACAGGTACTGATCCTGGCCCAGGTTGGCTAAAAAAGTACATCTGTAGGGAATGGTGAGGTAAGTTTATCACACAGAAGAGACAAAAAAGACAGCTGTGTATTGTATACTAGAATCAAGAAACATATGGAAACATAGGAACATTTAATCCAAAAATTTAAGGTATGCTATAAATTAAACCGATATTCTATAAATTAGGACTGTGATATTAAACGCATTTCCAATATAAACGCAATTTAATTTTCAAATCCCAGAGGCACTCAATATGAAATCAAAAAGAGTAAAACACTCCATTTTTCCCGAACAGGTCTTTAGGTGAAGGTAATATCCTTAAAGTGGGTTTGTTTCCACACAGAGGGGAAAAGAGAGTTGAAGCACACAAATCCAGGCATGCTAATAAAAGCTAGCACTTTTTCAAACAGAGGTTACAGGAATGTCCTGCAACAATAGACTCTGAAACAGCAAGCTTTCAAGGTCATAACAAACAGAGTCCCTGGACTGAACCATCTATATGCTTGCGGTTTGTGCAAAGACAGGAAAAAAAATCATAATAAAAATGCAATCGAAATATCGGTGGAAAATATTTTTGGTAAAATCGTTCAGCTTTAATAATATGTTTTCTATTCCTGATTTAAATCAGACTAACACCAGTTTTTATAGGAAAATATAATGGAAATGTCTTGATATTGACTGGATACAAGATCGCTAAATATTCTACATACGCTTATTACTGACCAAGAAAACTTCAGTGATATTTTTCAAACAGAAAACAATAGTCAACATCAACAGTTGTGTTATTAACCGATGGGTTACAGAAGGTAGATGAAGGTATATATATTCTGATATTTGTTTTTGATATCAGACTGATATCTGACATCAATATCTGGTGGGGACATCCCTATTATATACCACAACATTTATCTTCCTTCTACTCCAGTTTTTCTATGTAAAACATATTGGAGTTACCATCTCATTTTTTTAAAATTCAGAAAATAAAAAAATAAATAAATAAAAAAATCTTCAAAAGTCTCAGATTTTCTCCTTGTTCAGTTCAGGTGTCGAGTGACAAGCGGGATCTACATTCTTCAAACCTATTAAGCATCTCTGAAAGGTTTTTAGACCTAAAGGACCATGTAGACCAACAAGATTTTAACATTGATCTTATTATATATATTTGAATTAATTAGTGAACTATCAAAATAAGACTGTAAAGTTAGGAAAAAAAACAAACAAACAAATGAATTGATAAAATAAAGAAGGCATCAGGTTAGAAATCCATAAACCCTATTCCCTCTTCATGGTTACAGTGCTCTGCAGAGCAATCACATGGAGGTAACAAGACATGTGATATGCCTGCAGACCTTACAGTATTCACATTAAGAAGTCATCTAACAGCCCATTGTCACAGCAATTAGCAAGCATGGTGGAAATTTCCACTGACAAGAGGCTTATCAGAGGAGCATAACCTGACACTAGCAGCTACATTAATTTCCTAGAAACTGAATTGAAGAGCTGTGCAAAAATGGCATGGCTTTGTATGTGACTGACAGCCAAGCTGGGTCAGAGCTGACACCCATTGAAAGTTTGGCTATCGTTATCTACTGATATCTAATCACTGTTGTTAAAAAAAAACTCAACTAAATTAGTACCTCTTTAAAGTCAGAGCTTTAGATCAGGATAAAAAAAGCAAACAATATTACCTTAAAGCCTACAGCCAACAATGCGTTCAGCAACAGGATGGCTGATACGGTCGCTATGACGACTTTGGGGTGGTCGTCTCTGAGTGCGGGCCAGAAAGTCATCACCAGTACGGAGCCGGAAAGGCAGAGTGCCACTGCGATGGAGAGCCACCTCAGCCACTCATACTGTATAATCCACAGCACCTGGTGTGGACATAATCAATGTTTTTTTTTAATGTTTTTATGATATATGGACAAAGTACTTGATAATAAGCCATTAAGAAATCTTCAAAAAATGGGCTTTGCCCAACAAGCCAGTTTCCTAATAATGTTAAGTCTTGCCTCAAAAATAACAATTTAAGTTCTCCCAACACATCCACATTTTGTTTTAAAGTGCATGCAGCTACTGCGCCTTGCAAAAGTATTCATACCCCTTCAAAGCACGGCTGGGCAATATTGGTTTCCTACCAAATCCAACTAATAATATGACACAGTAAGCTAGTTCATCAGTTATGAGTACACATCTACAAACAAAAAGGGATGAACTGATGAAAAAAAATAAAAATAAAAATCTTCACAAGCTATCTTCATAAGCTAAAAAAAAAAAACTTGTCAACAAATAAACATTTTCCTTATGGCATCCATTTTTATTTAGACCCATTAACTCACACTATCCTGCAAAGTCACTCAACTTGACTAAATCTCAAGGTTTCAGAGGCTTGTTAGAGAAGATTAGAGACGTTGCAAAAAGTTTGGTTCATTTAAAACCAGCCAGAAAAGTGTTGAGTCTGACGATTTTATTCATGTGGGCCCTTTGTTCTAACCAAAAAATTTGCTCTCCACAAAGCGAGATTTTGGTAATGTAATTCTTTGGTGCTAACTTTACCCTACCTTACTATCACCTCACATGACTCTATTCCACAAAAATCAGAAAGTCACCTTCAGGCAGTCTGTAATTGATGCTGCTTATTAATGCTTTTTAACTATTGTGTTAAAGACCAGGAAATGATGATAACAAACCATGGTACACTGCTAAGGTAAATCTATATGAACATGCATACACACAAGTCTAATCCTCATGTGTACACCCACCAAAAAATGTATAAAAATTATTCTGAATGAGCTTTATTTAGTTTTAAATTACAAAAAAAAAACAGATGAATAGTGAATTTAAAGACAGTTTCAGTATTGTTGATGTAAAAAGTTAAGTAAATTGAAAGTGCTCACCACAGCTGGAATGTAAACTGACAAAGAATATCCGTAGACGCAGACGATCTCCATAAATGAATATGACACCAGGTTCAAGATCTTATTGCTCCTCCATAACAGCAAACCCCAGAGTCCAAGGGGCACCAGCCAAGCATAGCTGAAGATGGCTGTAGCAGCTATGCTCACTAGAGAAAACATACGATGTCAACTCAAGAGAAAAACTGCATTTTTTTTATAACATGTTTAGTGGGAAGGGAACTTACCCTTTCGAAACTCTGGGGTATATTTAAAGTCTGGGTTGCCAAAGTGTACCAAAAAATTAGATACATTTCCACTGATAGCAATGACAAACACAAGAGTGGTACAAATCCAGAATGGACCTAAAAACACAAGCACATAAAAAAAAAAAGAGTTAATAATCTGTATAAACATTTTATAATCGATATGAGAAACTACATCGACTTGCCAAAACATGTGACATATGCCACAAGTCTGCAAACTAAGTCAGAGCTAACCGTAAAGATCGGGGTTTTTACGAAGGTAGACTTGAATGAAGTTCTTTCCAGGCCACGGCACCATTGATCCAAGGATCCTCTCCTTTACCTAAATGTTATGTTAAAAAAAAAGTCAAGTTTCAGCCAGGTTAAAGATACATCTGCCTTACAGCAGTTACTCAAACGATTCAAACAAATTAAATGACGTACATGATGGGTCTCAATGTCAAAGAATTTTTGGTAGTATTCAAACGTCCAAAAAGGAGCACTTTTCTTTTTCCCAGCTAGAAGCTTGAATAAAACAGAAAGAGACAAAAATTGCATCAACTAAACATTCGATACATCTATATTTCATGTACCGATAAGGACCAAATATTTAAGTCTTGCTCTGACCTCTTCTCTGTCATCACCGATGAGTGGTTCTTCATCAGCAGCATCTTGAGTAAAACCGACATCACTTCTTGCCCTCTTGGGCTTCAGGTCCTCATCATCAATGCTGATGGTTACTGCATCATTGCTGGGTATCAGTAGATCCCCAGTCTCATCAAAATCTAGATGGAGGTGAGAAGAAACCAATGTTGGTTGTCTGGATTAATATTTCCTTTTTGTTCTTTTACGAAATTAAAACTATTTCACCTTTGAACCGCCTAAAATTAGGATATATCAATGCAGGGAGACTTTGTTTCATAATGTACTGACTGGATCAGGCTAAATAAAGGTCACTACTGCCTGCTATTCATATGCTTTGAAAACGTGTCATTTCCTTTCACTCTGGAGCAATGCTTTACTTTGAGCTGATTAATCAGACACCTTTACAGAAAAAAACTAAACTGTAGCATTACAAAATGGTAAATATGGTCAAAGCTCTTCTGATATATAATATATTTGTATAATTAGAGAATTTTTCAGATCTTTATTTAATAAAACACATATTCTAGTAAATGTATCTCCCCATGGCATCCTTACAAATTTCATCATATATATGTAATCAAAATTAAATTACATTCTCGTTTTTAATAATGAAGATCATGTAAAAAAATTGTGCAAAACACTCACCTCGGAATTCAAATGGATCATTTTTCGACGCCATTCACTTTTCTGTAAAAAGCTTCGTCTTTTGAGAATGTGTTGGCAGAATAATATGGCACAGGGAAAGAAATGAATCACTGGAAGCTGTGAATGGATATAAAGCACAACTTTTAAGGGTTTTACGTCAATTATCTCCACATTAAAAGCATTTTACAAAGCTGTAAAGGCACAAGTGAACTTTAGTGGCTAGCTAGCTTACTAGGTCCCCAACGGTTTATAAGCAACAATAAATTAACAAAAAATATAAAACATGTATGGTTACAATATCTGGTATGGAGTATTAATTCATAATATTGAGTGTCTTGAATCCAAGCTTACCAAATTCTCAGAGAAACCCTGTAAATATTATTTCATCATTGCTTGCTAGGGAAGCTCGAAGCAGGATATGCCAACAAGGTAAATAAGATTAATTCCTGTTCCAGCTATATTTTCAAAATAAGTGTTTATTCAATTCAACCGGATAACATATTTCGTAAAATGTAGTGTTATACAATTATCTCAATCGTACAAAAAATATTTAAAAAACAGTCTTTCTGAATTAAGGCATAGTTTGTGGTATATCTGCAAGTGCAATCGAGTACTATTATTAGTCGGCTTTTACTATGAAATAAGGAAATGAGTGGTACGTTGCAGCGTTGGCAACAGACCCCGCCATATTGTGGGTGGCAATTTGTCGACGAAACTAACGCATGCAAAATAAAACGGTTTGTTTTGATTTGCCGGTTTTGGATAATGTGATATAATTAAATTTTAGCACTTATAGTGAGGATAATCTAAAAAAAAAAACACTATCTGATTAGGAAATCATGCAATTAGAATGTGCTCACAAGCCTCACATATACTGAACAAATCAGACTTCAGCTAAACAGGCCCCTCACAATATGGCGGCGAAGTGACGTACTCCTCCGCTTTTGTTAATCTATGCTGTGTGCTAGCAAAAAGGACTGTCTACAGCAGAAATAAAGGGTATAATTATACAAAAAACAAAAGAGAGGTGGCAAAAGTTATGGGAAGTGGAAAAGAAAGGAAAGTGGTTCTATACAACCCAAAAGAGCCAAATAAGACAAATAAGAAGCACAGAAAGGAACAGGAGAGAAGAGATGATTATTTTACGACTTAGACTAGGACACACAGGATTGAATATGTCATTATTTTTAATAGGTAAACATCAGACAGGGAAATGAGACTGTGGGGAAGTTGAGACGGTGGAACATATTATTTTGAGTTGTAGGAAATATTTGATTCAGAGAAAATAGTAATATGAAAATGAAACCTGACATTGTTGATTTACTTCAAAAGGAATCGGGAAGCAGAGGATATCAGGTTATATTTGAGTTTTTGAAACAGATTAAATTGTATAACAGGATATAGTTTTTTTTGTTTGTTTGTTTGTTTTGTTTGCCATGCGGTCCACACTCCTTGCCGGTTAGTGGCGGTAATGCTCACTTAGCGTTTTTACCAACCACCATAAAGATTTCAAGAAGAAGAAGAAGAAGAAGAAGAAGAAGAAGAAGAAGAAGAAGACTGGGATATGCTTTTAAAAAGCAGATTACTGATATAACATACAGCAGTTATGAAAATGAGGAGTAACTGTAACTGAGAACACCTTCATCAAAAGGGAGCTTCTCTGTCTGTCGTTTATGCTAACCTAATGACCCTTAAAAGAGATTTTACTTTGAATCTATATTCAAATCGGCTGCTAAGCTAAGAGAAAATAGTGTGTGTCTGTTATGGACAACAGCACAATCTATGTCCGAGAAAAGGGAAACCTCCGCCGTGTGGGAAACATAATCCTGGCACAACCAAAACCATCATCCTCCTCATCATCATCATGCAGGAGGACGAATCCGTTCGTACAAAGAAAGGAGCATTTCATATTCACCTACAATGAGGAGGGAAGTCTGAGATACACCACTAAATCTCTGTTTGACATCACGCTGCTGTTCGTAGCTGACAACATCCACCATGTGGACTCTCTGGTTGGCTTCCCAGAGCAAATAGGCGACAGGCTTTTTGTGGCAGCAGAGGAGAACCGTGTGTTTTTGAACCCAGAAGTTTCTCAGAAAGCCATGAAGCTATTCTGTGACGCATATGGAGACATGGTGCTGGGCTCACTCTGTCTCAGAAACAGGTGGGGGACGTTTTCTCCTCAACATCTGCACCAGTTTCTCCATAAATATCAGTGATCATTGTCCCCTTTTCTAATTTTGTAGGTTTCCACTCCTGCATGAGAGGATCACCGAGATAAAAACATTTCATAGTTTAAAGTCTCTAGATGTGTTTGGCTGTAGACTAGGAGATGATCATGAGTTGTTCATGCATCTCACATCCCCATCTCTGTCAAGGTAAGGTTAGACTCTCTATGATGTATTTAGGTAATAATGTAAAACTAATTGTGAATGCTTCCCTCCTCAGCAGCTTGACTCAGCTGTTCATTGGTGGGAACCACCTGTCAGATGTTGGCCTGCAGAGACTAACCGCTCCCATCCGTATCATGAAGAAGGGACTGGACTCCTTGGAGCTTCTGGATGTTTCTCGTCAGTAGTTCCCTTATAGTCAGGTATGCACCAACTTCATATAAAAGTAATTTAAATGTTTTTTTTCTCTTATTTTGATGCAGACAATCCCATTTCAGAAATGGCTTTTAGATACCTCAAATGCCTCGCAAAGCTTGTGAAGCTTGATGCAACTGGGACCAATGTGAAGGTAAGAAGGAATTGAAAAATAGCCATACCACCTGTGCTTGTTTATATTTTGTCACGCTGAACCACCTCCTCTGTATTTGATTTGGATTGTATGAGATAGACTAAGAAAAAGTGGAACATAATTGTAAAGCAAATAGGAAACGTGTATATGATTTCATCTTTAACGGTGGCCTACATTTACTTTCTCTTGAAGCACCTTTCACTGCCTCTATAAATGATGACGGAAATTATCATTTTTATAATTCAGTTAAATAAGAAGTACCATTTGTGCTTATTATTTAATCATTATTACAAGGTGGCGAACAGATGGCAGAGGTGTGAATATGCTTCATATTTTTTGCACCGTTAAAGCACTACCAATGGGGTTTGTATGTCAATCTTCTGCTAGTTATTAATCCAAAAGGTTTTGCAATTCCTCAGGACAATTAGAATTTAGTTCATAATTTTTTAAAAAGAAATGTTATTCGGGTTTCATCACTGCTCTTAATTGGTTCTTTAGCTTTGTATCCTAACTTAGAAACATGCCTTTTTATTTAAAACTACAACCCATCATGATGCAACGTATTATGAAGCATCATGATATTCTTTAAACAATACAGATTTATTTTAAAATGGACACTTTATATTTAGATATTTGATGTTTTCCACCAACTATTTCTTTTTTTTGTAGATTAAAATAAAGGTTTAATTTTTTTCTCATCTGACTAGAGCAGCTTATAACTTTAGAATAAAGGTCAAATGTTGGAGCTCATATTAAATAGTTCTCTAGACTAACGTCTCTATCCAGCGTTACCATTGGCCTCATGGCTGCTTTTATGACAAACCCGCTGCTCCTCTGGCCTGTTTGTTTAGAGGTGAAGCTGTGTCTTGGCAGAGGTGAATTTCCGCAATCCATTTAATAACCTAGCTCTGCTCTAAATCTCTCATTAACTATAGAGCTTATGTGTCTGCTGTCTTCCTTATTCTTTACCACACTGTGTTCTCCATCAGTTCTCTGATTGCATTGATAAATGGTCTCAGGTTTTTTATACACTGCAAAAACAATCTAAATATAAATAAAAAGGTCTTAAATTAAGTGTATTTACCCTTCATTTGAGTAGGTAAATAAGATGATCTGCCAATGTAATGAGCATTTTTACTCTTAATATAATTAGATATCATGCACTTGAAATAAGACAATGCAATAGTTTTCCCCTATTTTTAAATGTAAATGTGTCTCACTTACCTCCTAAATTCAAGAACAAATACACTTAATTTAAGAAAAATTTACTTTTCTAGATTTTGATTTTTTTCCAGTGTGCTAACTCAGAAACAAGCCTTTTGAATATAACCGCACCTCATCATAAAATGGTCTGTACTTAGTGGTTTTTCAAGTCAGGGAACTCCAAAACACTACATTCAGTCCTAGTCACACACCCATAATTATTTTCTGTGGATCTGTTGGAGAATATGAAAGCACATTCCTGCACTGAGGCTACATTGAAGCAGGGCAGCCATATACAGGAGCTACTGAGCCCTCTGACAACCATCAGTAGTCCATGCAGGTGAAGTGCCTTGACTAAGGGGCGCAACGTCTGAGGCAGGCAAAGTTGGTGTTTGAACCATCGACCCACCAGTTCTAAAGACAAAGCTCTGCATTCTATGCCACTGTTGCCCTCATTTACTAACCAGGTGACTCATGAAGAAAATGGGTTACACCATACTTTACTCGGGCTCCCTGGTTTAAAGGTGCTAAATATGAATAAATGACACGCATATTTTTACTTGTAAAATCTAAAAATGATTTAAAGAAGGTATTATTGATTTTTATTTTTTTGGTCTTGGAAATAATTAGTTGTTTATTTCAGCTTGATACAGGATTGAAGAAAACCATGTGGGACGTTTTGGGACTTATTCATTCCGAGAAACCACTGAACATCTTCGATCACTCAGAGTGTAAGACAGAAGGATGGGCAGAACAGGTAAGCATTTTTAGGTAATACCAGGAATATGTTTCATTGCTTAAAAAGCAGAACCAATAATCCAAACTTTTTTTGAGGTTGTAAATCAGTGGGAAACGAGTGGCTGCCAGATGCCTAAACAGAAAAAAATGGAAGAGTCGCGGGCCTCAGCACTTCGCTTTTGTGAGTCTATTGCATGTTTTTATTTTTATTAATTTGTCTAAGTAAATTCACACATAAAAAACTGTTTTTTGTTTTTGTAGTTGGCAGACAGAAGTTTGTCAGAGAGGTACTGAATGCTGCACCGCTGACTGGTGAGAACGGGAAGAGGACCAACATGGAGAAACTACATTTCTACAAACCCACAGCAAACAATCACTTAATAGAGAAAATGGATCCATCCACCACAAAGTGCCTCCAAGTTAGGAATCCCACCTGTTATATCAAAAAGAGGAAGCCAGAATCTAGCAAGTGTGATGACTCTCATCAAAGCCCTCCTACTAAAATTCATCGCTCATCCTCCTTGGTTTTCACTGCAGAGGATGCAGACTTGTTAAACAGCTACTGAAGAATGGAATGCGTTCTAACACCATTCCATAATAAATAAACCGACATGGGAGCAGCAGTCGAAATGTAATACTTATTAGCTGTTTACTGACACTCTGGAAAAACTATTTTGTATTTTACTTTTTTTTATTTTTAAAGATAAATAAAACTGTGTTTGTAAGAGTTTGTTTGTCCTGCAGCTTTTAAATTCACTTTAGCATTTTACTGAACAGGTGTTTTTGAGAGGAACAGATACACAAAAAACTTAAATGTTAAGAGTAATTTCTGGAATTTGAGGATGGTTTTAAGGATATAGTTATTATACACCTAACAGTTTCAAATAGTATAGTGGAGGATTTACAAAGATTTTTGAAAAGACCCGCCCTCTCTGCTTTAGAAATAAATGCACATGCACAATCCTGTAGCCGCTCCTGAGAGGGAACGCCTAATAATTGCGTACGAGAGCGTGCAGGAGCCCCTTTCTACTCGTGCATGCTCTGTTTAAAAGTTGCTGTTGATCGCTCAGACAAGCTTAATTTCCAAAAGATTGGCAATTTTTTCAACTCACCACCAGTAAGTGAAAATGAGGACAAGCACGTAGGATGCCCTTACGTAAACATATCACCAGAATGATTGACAATTAGGAGGACCAGTTATTTTTGATGATCCACCTGGAAAAAGAACATCCTCCACTACACCTTTAAGAAAGGGGGGAAAAAACAAAAACAAACTTGAGGACCAAGTTTGAAGTTGTATCCAAAGCTCATGTAATGTACAGAGGAAAAAAAAAATCACACAGGCACCTCCACAATGTGTGCTACAACAGCTTGAATTGAAAATCACACATCATGATATTCCCAATCTGGTCACATAAGCTTAATGTCAACCTGTGTAAAACCTGCTCTGACTCTTGTTTTGGCATCATCGTCATGTTGGGTCACTCAGTTGTGTCCGCTTTAAATCATCTAAATGTTTAGAGGAAGTTAAATTAGGAGTCGCTTCCTTATAGTTTCTGCGATAACATAATGCAATGCACCTGAAATGCAAGGAGTGGAAGAACCCCGCAGCATGATCAGGATTTATACAGAAAGGAGGAACTCTTAATTTAATGCTTTTTAATGTTCTTAGAAATAATTTTAATGCCATCAATAAGTACCCATTAGTCTCATATATATATAAAAACACGGCCAAATCCTTCCTAATCTTTACCATCGACAGGCTGCAGCCATGTCCCAAATTTCTCGTTTTCCAGCCACTTATGTTAAAATTAGCATTTTCCCATTCTCTCTTCTGTGCCTCGTGCTTCCGTTCCAAACATTTGGCTTTAAGATCAACAAGGAGCAGTTCCACGCAACACATGGAACCAGTTAAATCTGATATATTTGACAATTTTTTTCTTTTATAAAGCATTTTAAATGCCATAATAATCACATTTAATGAATTTTAATGCCAATTAAGGCCTTAATTTAAAAATAATTTAATGACTTTTAATGACCTGCAGACACCCTGATTATGCTACCACTAGACTTGATAGGTTGCTTGGTTTTGAAAGGCACACCTTGACCCAGTCCATCCCTACCAGGTGATACTGATCAGAAGAAGTTTTATTACAACTGAAAGATGCCAGAACACTAATGACTCACAGTGAGGCGTACTTACCACCATCACAGACCAAGGAGCAAGCCCTAGGTCCAAATCACTTTTAGGCTCAACTTAAATTTGAAGCTGCTCCTTCTCTCTTAATTAACCCAGAGATTAAACAGAAAATCATGATTTCAAATGAACAATTTCAGCTTGGTATTTTATTCTTATTTATTACGAAGTAAACAGCAAAGCAGGAAAGACTTAACCGCATGTACCGTCTCATTAAATTAGGAGCACAGGCCTTTACTGTAGAATGAATCAAGATATTGCAGCAATATCAACATGTTAACGAAAGGAGAGTCTGCAGTGTCCACACAATCTACGTTAGCAAAACATTGTGGATTTGGGTAAAAACCTGCATCACTTCAAGTCACTTCATTACATTCAATAAAACACACACCAAAAGAAAAAAAAGGAACTAATGCAACAGAAAACTTGCAGGAAAGTCCTAGCACATTTTATTCTTTTAATACCCTCATTACTCGTTTGTGTCATTAAACCAATAAACAAAAAAAAGTTTGAAATACCCCAATTTAAGAATGTATGAATAAAGCAGGGACAAAACAGTTAATAGTAAATAATCTGAAAGTTCTGCTTAGCCCACAACCAGCTCACTCCTTAAATCTAAGGATAAAAAATAAAAAAAATCCGCTGATTATTCATCAAGAGAAGGTTCCTTTTGGGAGTGCAGCTTCAGTTTTTAGATGTTGGATTGTCCAAGGTTCACCTTGGAAGGAAGTGGACCAGCCTCTTCTTCTGGCCCTTTGGAGGTGATGATAATCAGAGAGGATGCTGGGTAAGGAGTCAGTTTCTGCTCTTTGATGTAGTCATTGTCCCCATTAATGCTCAGTTTCTAAAAGGTAGAAAAGAATAGTAGCATTTTATTTAAATTGCATGTTCAGACCAGCTGCTGTGGGGAACCAGTAGCTACAAGGAAGCAGTTCCGAGTTGGCAGAAATATGGGAACCTTGAAACTGGTGAGGCTTCCCTTTTGGAAACATTCAACCAAGGATAAAATATAATGTTTTAGATAAAAAAAAACAATCATGTATTGTGACCTAGTCTAAGTACAGACATAAATCCATCAGAATCTGTGCCAAGATCATGTTTAAAGATGTGCTCCATCCAATTTCAATGAGCCTGAGATACTCAAAGAATAAATCAGGACATAATCCAGCCTCTAAATCTGCAAATTTGGTGAAGATGTACCTGCAATACATGCAGTTGAATGTAGCATGCATGTCATTTTTTTCAGCTATAACACCAAAAAAAATGTCTTAACTCCTTTACAGTTTCTTTTACACTATAGAAATACATACAACTTTGTTTTGGGCAAATCGATTGAAGCCAAATTAAACCTCAGGTGTTTGTTTCACTGCCACTGCAAAATTTGGAAAGGCTTAAGGAGTTAGCATATTTGAACGTTGAAACTTTAAGCAATTGGTCATAAAAAACATTTAAACAAAATAAATCAAATTTCAGAATTTCACAGTAAATTCTGAAAGATTAATATATTCCCAAATACAGCATCTCTAAAAAGGAGATGGATTCTTGTTAAACATATGAGACTCCCAGAAAATCCTCACAGTGTTGGATCCAAGAAAAACCAACAACAACAAAAAGCAATAGCACTAAACAGGTTAAACAAATAACCAAGAGACCAAGTCAAGAAAATATCAGAGGGCATACCTCAGCAGGAACATATTGATCTACAGCAGTTGCCACAGTAGCACAGCAGATCCAGATCAGGACCAACACAGACAGAACTAAAGTTGTTGTAAGGATCCACCCAGGCAGCCAAGGGTTCCTGTTGAGACACGTACAAAACAAATAGCATGAGCAGCGCCACATCAACTTTTGGTGCTAATAAAATCAGCTAAGACAACAGAGAAATGCAAACCTTGACAGGCAGCTAAAAAGGTTGTATCCATCATCGTAGCTGCGCTCACCACTTAGATCCCTGTCTCTCTCTTGGATTAAAGAGCGATGGTATTCTTTGTAAATAGGACTGCTCAGCCCTGGAACTAAGAAAAAAGAAAGAAATCAACAAAGAGAAGGTTATTACATAGAATTTTCCATAATTCTAGTTCTGACTATATATATTTTTTTTATTTTTTTTTTTCAAAAGAACATTGCATAACTTATGGCCACAAGGGGCACTAGACTTGTACCTTGGCCCAGCTGAAAGAAAATGGTAACACTGCACTGTCACAAAGTTAAAAGGCCTACATCAGAGCAGGAGTGGAGCTAAGGGGTAATTCATCACCTCCAGAATAAACAGTTTCCACCTAAACCAGAGGATAGCAGCACTCTCTTAAGTGGAATGTCCCAACTAATTGGACATTTTAGATGTTAGTATATTAACTATAAATTAACAGTATAGTTGTTAAACAACACCAAACACCAAATAAATACATTTATAATTCCAAATACGTGCTCTATTCAGAACTGGATTTTATGTTTTATAGCGGAGAGGGCAATGTTATCTGCTCAGTCCCTTTAATGTGTATATTTGGTGTAGAATACATGGTTCATTTAGACTGCATAGTATTGAATGAATATTTGTTTAGAATTATTAGAAAGGGCTTCATGAAAGTCTAGTCTTTCTTCAGTGAGTTATTTGCAAAATACTGAATACTGTGGTGCCATTTATTTTCCTGTTGGTACAGTATAGATCCATGCTGAACTGGTTATGGAGCCTAATAGTTTAAAGCCACCCCTCAGTACACATTGATTCCTCCCTAGCCCATTTAAAAAAAAAATCAAAAATGAGAAACATTGCATAAAATAATAAACTCTGATGTTCTTACAGCTCTTCTGGGGCTCCTCCTGCGTATCCTTGTCCAGCTCAATATGGGTGAAAATTCTGACTTGAGGTTCAGACTGGGAAGCAGAGAGAAGCATTTGTTGAATAAAAGGGACTCACCAGGTTGGTTTTATAAAGAACTATTTCACCAAGGTTGACTGTTTTCGATTAAATACCTGGAAAACAACAACTTTTCCATCATCAGCCTGAAGGTAGAACGTCCAGGAGGAAGTGATGAAGCTGTGGGCCTGACTCATTACATCCTCCCAAAATCCTCTGACCAAAGTCAGTGGATGTAGAAGATGAATCCTAGGCATCATGGCCTCCAACTGTGCAGTAAATAAGAGAGATTGAGAATTCCATTGTTCTAATAGTCATTCTGCATCAATGAAACAAGTGACATACCTGATCCTGACGTTGCTCAGCAAATGGAAGCTGGTTGTTACAGCCCATGTTACAAGCATACTGTTCATCAGACTGAGTGTAGGCTTCCCGACAGGCTGCATAAATTAATGTAACAGATGGTAAAATAGGTTAAGTGGCATGCAACACAATGAATCATGAGTTATTTTTTATCGTTTAATTGGTATACAGGGTTCTGCTTCATATTTTCTTATCACACCTCAGTACATTTTTACAGGAACTGAGAATGTCACCATGATGAATAGAAAACAAATACAATCTCTTGCAAAAGATCAAATATTTTGTGACATTAGAAACTAGATTTATTGGGATTTTATGGGTTTTTTGTTAAGATTTTTTTAAACAAAGATCTTAGGAAGTTTTTTCCCCCTAAACTTAACAGTGATGCACTGATTTCCATTGGTCAGCCAATAAATGAATCTATGTAAATGCATGGATAATTAGTAGAAGAGACAAATGATGGATGGAGTTAGGATGAGTTACAAACAGAGGGATCATGGATGCACAGACAGAAACAAAAACTGCAAAATGACAGAAGCCCTGTTTTGCAGTATCATGTAAACCATAAATTCCAGACGTTTCTAGAACATTCAGGTGGATCTTTGAGCTGAATCTAACAATGCATTTGGATATAGACAATATTCAACTCTAACAAGAGCCATCCGGGCCAGAATGTAAAAGGAAGTTAAGAAACTTACTTGATTCACACTCAGATTTGGTCTGATTAAAATCGTCGCTGTCTCGGACAAAGTGACAAATGGAGAACAGACGGCAGCCTCTCTGACAGGCGTACAGTTCCTCCTCCTGAAAACACAAAAACAAACAAACCGACGGACCAGTTGAATGCCTCTGCCAAATGACGCAGCAAACATTCCTTATATACAATATTCAATTAAGAACAACAACATATCAAACAATAAAATAGGACTTAACCTGACAAGTCAATTTGTTTTTCTGTTTCTTAATTGCATAATGTTAGCGCGCGCTAGCTGACATAAGCAAGATAAAAGTGCTCACCCGTGGATACGTGTGCAAACTATATGTCATTTCGCAGGATTTATGACAGGATACTGTGCTTCCCAGAACGCTGTCGAACACGTCTGAGGACGCTGAGGTGAAAGCAAACAGGGCATAAAGCCCCAAAATATTGCTAAAGAAAGAAAAGGTTCCCATTTTGCAAACAACAACAAAACCGTCCCTCTCTTCCCCGTCCACCCGAATCTGGAGTGTAACCTCGCGAGATTTCTTTCCTTTAAGGATGCGTTCAATGACTGTTCCTCTTTACGATAGACCTAAAGGTTCAACTTTAAACAATAATTATTAAGCATTGTGGTATTTAGTCTAAAGATATATTTTACGTCAGGGTAAATTTTGGTAAATTTGTTCGAAAAGGATACGAATTAAACACGTTAAATTCTCAATATTTTTTTCTATTGAAATTTTAACTTTAGAAGTATCTACATTTTTCCGTAAATTTACACATTTTAGAATATTTGAACTTAACAGAATATCATGAGTTTTATGAGTTATATATATATATATAAAAAAAAAGGAAATGCCGGTGCATTTCAGGATGGTCTTCTTTCACTAATGTATAAAAATATCAAACAATAGGCACCCCTTAGTAAACAGGATTGCTTTTTACAGCGATATATTTTAGGCCACCTGTTCTAAACATCAATGAAAATTTTAATTTGTATTAGATAATTAATAATTAGCTTTTTATTACAAAAACATTGTACTTATTATTGCCTACACAATCGAGTGGTATTTTCTCCCTTAACGTACCTGAAGGCAACATGATCCTAGCTACAAACGGGCTTCCGTCTTTATTTCAAACGTAATATTGACGCTATTTCAATGATTTTCCCACACATAAACATTGTAACAGGGTGTCAAAATGGTTTGAGGAGATGTATGAAATCTTTCTTTTAATTTTATCCTAAAGCTATTTCGAAGATAGAAAGTAAACAGCTTTTTATCGAGGTAACTGCTTAAGTTAGCAGTGGTTAGCTTACTTTTCTGGCATCGTACGCGAGCTTTTTAGTTTTTTTTTTTTTTTACGAATATATTTTGTAATTGAAAATGGACAAGTTTGTTGTTCGGCTTCCGAAGGGAGAAAAACCAAAACAACCGAAGAGCGAGGAGAAAGTTTACAAACAAGCTACAATAGAGTCCATGAGGGTGAGATATTCAGCAAAGTGTGAAACAGCCACATATTCTTATCCTATATAGACTAATTTAACGATTCTTGATCCACAATGTTTCTTTAAGAGGGTAGTTGTGATCGAAGACATTTTGCGCTACAAATCAACGCTGGAGCTGCCTGAACAGAGCAAAGAGAACCTGTTGGACACCCTGACTGAGCTGAGCAAGAAGATCCCATCCAAAGAGGTGCTCAGGTCCACTAAAATAGGTACTCACTGATACTGTTTAAGGTTCTTTTCTAATTTATGTTATTAATGTATACACCACATATAACATGCCTGTTAATAAGTAATCAGATCCATAACAACAAGCAATATTTTGGCCCTGAGAACATTATTACCAAGTTATGCTGTCAGTTCACCTTAACCCTTTAAAACCAATTGTATCATATTTGATGCATGATCTTTTGAGATCTTTGCATCATCAGTGTGATCTCGCTTATCTTAAAAACCCTGACTTACATAATCAGCAGTGAACAGAAAACGTATATAATATTCTACATAAAGGCCTAATGTAACAAAATTGATGCAAATAAAGGATCTAATTTAACTTATAAAAAATATATGTATTCTTTTTCTTTCATTTTTCAGAGTTCAATGACAACTCTAAATAAAAAAATTGAAATTTCTGTCAATTATTTAATGGTCCAGGCTTTAAAGGGTAAAAAGTCAACTTGGTTTATTTATTTTTTTGCTTGCTGTCGGATTATACTTTTCTACCCTGTGAGTATATTAAACGATAATAAACCATATAAAAGATCCATATAAGACATTCTATAATTATCCAATAAATGTATAAATGCTTACTAGTGTCACAAGTATAATTTTCATACCAATTCAAATTAAATTATATTAAAAAGAACAATGACTTAATTATTGTGGAAAGTTTAGATTTATCAATTTAGATTTACATTATCTTAGTTCAGTGTTTGAAATTGTTTGCAAATTCCAGACATTTAAGTAGGATTTAAAGAAAGGAAAGCATAAAAAAAATCTGCATGGGTTAAAAGAATGCAGAGGGGAATTTCTCCAGTGTGAGATCAATAAAGTTCAATTAAAATTTAGACATTCTCTGCACTTTTCCCATCATCTTAGTGATTTCACAGGTTAAATCATTGCTCTATGGTGCCATCAAGTGGACAAAAAGTGTTAATGGTGTGGTGATTAAAGTAACATAAAAATACATTTTTCTTTTCTTAACTAAATAACAATTAATAGCATTACAAGGGACAGCTTGTAATACTATTAATGTTAACGCATATCGATTTCATTTAAAAAATATCTATATTTTTGTGTTAGGCTTCATACAGTTAATCTTTTTGGACCTATGTAAAGTACATTTTACTAATAGGTCAGATTATGTTGAGATTAATACATTTTTGGGGGTTTCTGTTCCCAAGGTCACACTGTTAATAAAGTGAGGAAACATCCGGACCCTGACGTGAGTTCTCTGGCAGCAAAGGTTTACACTGAATGGAGGACTTTCATTGAGGAGAATTCAAATAAGCCGTCCATTGAAGTGCGCTCTGACAAACAGTCTGAAGGGCTGAGGAACAACGCTCGGAGGCTGCTGTCTGAAGCACTGGGAGTCAAGGTGATACATAGCATTAAAGCGTTAGTTATATTAAACCTTTATGTTTTGTTTTCATCAGGTTGATGAACTGAAATGGCATTTAAATATTTACAGTCAAGGTTAAAAGAAACCCTGCCTCATTTAAATTCATGTTTTGTTGATATCCCTTTAGGTTGTCCTTCTTGTTTTTATATATAAAAAAAATGTCTTGTTCTGACTATATTAGTTTTGAAACTACGGTTCCTAAAAATGTTGGAATCATTTTGCAAAGTTTTAAATACTTTCCAGGTCTTTCCAAGTATAGAAACAACCTGGCATGAAAAATGATTTGTGTTTTTAGGGTTTACTCCTAATTCTACTTACTATAATCTATATTCTTCCTTACTTGCATCCTCTGTCACATGTTCTCTTTCTTTGTGCCCTTTCCAACACATTTTCCTCCTATAATGTCTTGATTTCTTTCTTATTTTCCCTCTTTTATTTCCTTTATTTTGTTTCATGTTTACTTATGTTCATTTCTTGTCTAAATTCATTCTGTTCCTCCTTTCTTTACCACTTAGTTACTTGTCCACTTTGTTTTATTCAAAGTTTTTTCCTGCTCTAAATCTCTTCCACTGCTTCCATTAAGTCGTGACAAACCTAAATGTTGTATATTTTGATGTAAACACAAAGAGGTAAAGAATAACTCTGATAAGGTAAGGACAAATCTTGAACCTTTACTTAAATATTAATGTGCAGAAACTAATGGGAGCAGTGGAATCTGAGGCACATCAGAAATTCCTAGCTATGTGAGAAGCGACTTATTGAAAAATAAAACTATGAATCTATTATGCTGGTGAAGATTCTCAGCCATCCAGGTCATCGTCATTCCAAAAAAGTTTTAAAAAATATTAAAAAACAAACCACTGGACTTTGTTTTCCAAGTTTGTCTCGCTTCCCATCCAGAAGGCTTTTTTTTAACTCAAAATGTCTGGAGTATTGTTGAGTTTCAAGCTTTATAGAGTAGCCCAACAAAACCTTGTGGCTCAGAAAACCTACAAATTGAACCGGAAGAACAGGCCCGCCCCTTAGTAATGGGAAGTCGTGGAAGTCGTTGTCGGCGTGCAAAACCCAATACTGGTCCATGCATCTGAAAAGCAGTTGTTAGGGTCATTGTTGGCCTGCCTAAACGGGTAAATTTATTAATATTAGTTTATTACAGCTATTATTATTATTAGCTTTTAATGTATATGCAATTACATCAAAGGGCTTAGATGCATCAGATTGATGCTAAAGAAATAACTGGTATTTTTGTTGGTATTGTTGAAAAGAATTTGACACATCTGCGTGATTTTACACATGAAGTTTTTATTTAAATTTGTAGAAATCATATTTTTATATCAAAATAAGGTTTGTTGGTTTCCCATCCACTGATAACCCTTTTTTATATTCATGCCCTGATTTCCTTTCTAATGCTTCTGCAATTTATATCAGCTGACCTAATTAAGCTAAAAGGTCTTTTTTCCTGCTTGTTTGTTTTGTGTGCAATACAGGAGGACTCTGGGCTTATAGACAACATTGAGAGAGAAGTTTTTCACCAGAGCTCCCGGTTGGTCAGCAGCTCCTACAGACGGACCATCAGGGCGCTGGTGTTCGCCTTCAGACACAACTCTGACATCAGAAGTCAAGTAAAAGATAGCAAAATATCCGTTAGTCAGCTCGTTTCCCAGTATAAAAAATAAGTGAACACTGAGAAGACTGGGACTTGAACCTCTTGTGGATGAGATTATGTTGCACATAATTTTTTTTTTTTATATTTTATTTTGTTTTTACTCTTCATCATGTTCTCAGTTTGTTCATAAAAATGCAAAAACTTTTTACAGATTGTGGCACATCAGCGCATTTACATTTTATGGGTGTAAATTTAAATATTTAAACCATAGCTCTGGCTTACATCATGCTTTACCATCTGTTGTTGGTTTTGGTTTTAAACTGAATTGAAAAAAAGACTTCATTAAATACAAATGTCAACAACTATAGCTGGATTATAACTATATATATTTTATACTTTCAAATATTGCATCATTTGTTTTTGCGTGTGGTCCTGGCAGGAGCTCGTTACAGTGCAGGAACATTCACCAGCTCATCCTCTTAATCATTTAGCACAGTTATGCTAACAGACAGTTCTACTGCTTACTTATATCTAAATACTAGTGACACTTTAGACTGATTTGATACGTTTCTCAAAGACACCCATTCATTTGAGGTGAATTAGCATAGATCAAACCTCTCCATGGTTTGACTATGCACCTGAAAAATAAAAACTAAAAACAGTGGCCCAAAAGTTCACAAACCCTTTACTATTTGTTTTGATAAAAAAAAAAACTTTTTCCACATAATATAATTTCAGATGGAAAAACAAATATGTGAAAATGGGAAATATGAAAACAAAAGGCAGATAGAAAAAATTTACACAAATGTACCTATTACGCCTATGAACCATCTTTTTATTGAACTTCAGCATTTAATCTTATTAAGTTCACATCTATTAACTGTAAAATCTGATTTAGCTGAAATAAAGTTAAGCGGCTTTAGGATGATCTTCTTAATCTTTGCTTATTTGTTTTCTCAGCCTCACGCCATATTTTTCAGGAAGGTCAAACAGGATCTAATCAGTTTTACGGTTAAAAGGATTCAGTCCAGATCATTATTTACATCATGGCACAGTAATAGTTATTGATCAACAAATGAATGATGGAACAGATTTACCAAAGGAAGGGACTGTAACTGACCAGGGGGTTTGTATGGTAACAGCAACACTGAAGAAACAAGGATTCGTTGTTTTTTTTAACAAAAGAAAACAAGGTATTGGTTTATATGTCTGGACTAAGGAGCAGGTTTTTGTCACAGAAAACATCCAAACCTGGCATCAGTCTCCCTAAAACTGTAGAAGAATGGGTTATTATGATTAGATGAAATGTTAACTTAAGGGTAACATTTTCAAAAGTTTTGTTTTCCAAAAATCCATGAAAGATGATGGCCAAATGATGATTTGGGGTTAGTTTTATTTTACATTATAATCTGTAATGGTGGATGTATATACATTATTTTGAAATCTCAGTTTTGTCTCTAATGTTTGCTAAATGGTTGGAAAATTGAATTAACTTTAACAACATCAGTTTGTACAGTTTTGTACAGTTTAAGTGCAGATATACCAAGTCAAGATGTGGGATGCAGTTCCTGAACACTTGAAATGCTTTACAGCATTAATATTGCATTATTCATGGAAAAGTTTTGGAAATGAATACATATTACCCTTCAGGCCTCATCAGTTTTAAAAGTTGTTAGAGGAGGAAATGTATTAAAAACAAATAACTTTGTTTAGGAAGCAGTGTTAACATTAATTTAGTATTTTCCTTTTTGTATGAGCGTATGTTGAAACCTGGACCTATTGATGATGTCTACTAAAGCAGCACCAACCAAACAATGGCTATCACCATGAGGATGACAGCAAGAACACAGATGCTGATGAAGACAATATCGCTCAAGTCATGGGGTTCTGCCTGTGGTTCTACAGCGTATGCGCTGCTGTCACTGTCCGTCTGCAGGGCCTGCTCCTCCAGCCGCCGCTCCTCTGCAGAAATGATGGACACAGACGCGACCTTCCGTAAGGCGTCGCACTGCACCTTGTATTCTTGCACGTTTTGCTGCTTTCCATCTGAGAAATCAATGTAGAGCTTGTTCACAAGCATGGTGATGTTCCGGTGTTTCTGTGAGGAATTAGTCATAAAATGGATATTTTAGCTTTATTCAGCAGTGTGGTAAAAGATTACTTTTAATTAAGTTAATGAACCCTTCTTTTAAATCAATAGCTTATTTTTATTTTATTTTCACAATCAATTTTCTTTTTCACAGATCTGAAAATATACAACAGGAGCTTGATAAAAAAAAAAAAAAAATGCATTATATAAGAGAGCATGTGTGCCGGTTACCTGACTGGCCGTTCCACAGTTGACAAACTGAGCCAGTATTTTGTATGAGGTGGTTGTAAGCTGAGCTGTACATGTTGGGTTTCCAAGGTAGATGCTCTCACGGTCCAGCTGAGGTAACGACTGCTGAGGGATCAGGATGGTAAACTCTGATCTAGTGCAGCTCACGTTCACAGGCACCACTGAGGAAAAGACATTTTAAACATTTTGGGAGCAGATTAAGAAGGACGTGGTGCAGAGCTGTTTGCTGGGATGAACGTTGAGGATTTCATGAGCAAATTTAATTGGGATTAAAGCTGCAAATAGAGTAAGCAGTGGGGAGTAGATAAGTTACACCTGCGGTCCCCGTAGGATACACTTCATTAATTGTCCCATTAGCTCCTAGTAATAAAAGATAAACACATTTACCTCCTAGATAAGAAGCGGAGAAGCCTCTGTGAGCTTCATTTCTGTCTGTGCTGAGGACCACTAGCAGCTGGTTTCCCTTTGAGATGATAGAAGGAGGCTGCTCCCTGCCGCACCAGCGTCCCATCAGGGCGTCCGCCTGGCTGTCCCCATCATACACAGACACAGAGTCATAGTCGCACTCATCTGACAGGCTGTTGCGGCCCTCCAGGTCCATGACAGGAAAGTAGAGCTTGATGCGGTACCCGGCTTCAAGGGTGATGCTCCAGTGGCAGTTAATGTTGTTTGGGTAGATGTTGGGGAAATTTGGGCTGGTGAAGTTGCCGCTCACAACTGACAGGACCTGTTGACATTCACCTATATTGGGTAAATGGCATCAGTTAGCCGACTCTCTGTTTTTATTACTTCTTTTCAGGGATTCTGTTTAAAACAGTCGTCATAAAATTAAAAGCTGGTGCTTATAGCTTGTAATTTAAGTTTATGAGAGCTCACTTTGTGTTTATGGGGACCGTTTTATGACTCATCTCTTGCAAAAGAGATTTTAACCTCAATTCGTTTTTTTTTTACCTGTTTAAGTAAAGGAAATAATGAATTAGTTGGTATAAAAAGCGTTAGCAAGTTTCGGATATAAACTGGAGACAGGTAAGTTACATCAGCATCATCTACCATAAACCTCAATGTAATTTATTACAATTTTGATTGACAGACTAACACAAAATAAAACATTACTATGAATAAGATGGAAAGGTATTTTGACAAAAAGCTGAAAAGTGTGGCCAGAAGTTATCCTCAGAAATGACATCATATTATAGAGCAGGGGTCTTAAATGTTTTCCAGGCTATGGACCCCCAAACTGATGGTGAGATGGAGCGGGGACCCCCTAATTTTATATATATTGTATGAAATTGTGTTATATCAAACTGGTCCTATAGTCCCTCTATTACATATGGAGTAATGTAATGAAAATAATTTTGCCCTGGGATTATTAAAGTATTTCTGATTCTATTCCTGGTTGATGGGACAAGTGTTGTGAAAGAAACGGTGACCAGCTTGAAAGAGCTCCAGTGTGTCGCTGAATGTGTGTGTTGATGATTGACAGACATCCTCTGCCTCCATTTATCTGTTTACTACAGTGTGTTGAATTGATATTGATGTTATTTAAAGACATTTCAATTAGTGGAAAAATTTGCAGGGGGGAATATAAAAAAAAAGTGTAATCAATCAAAATTTTCATGACCCCCATGCAGTATCTCTTTGGACCCCCTAGGGGTCGTGGAGCCCCTGTTAAAGACCTCTGTTATGGAGAGTTCATCTGTGTGTAATTTAACCTCAGTATTAATACTGTGTAGATTTGTTAGAAAACATTTAGTCATCTAACAGCCTTCTACATACCAAGGAACACATGTCAAGGAGAAATTAGCAAAGAACTGTAAACCAGTCAATTTCTTAATATCCAAAGCCACAGAGAACTGCATTATCTGCAAATTGAGAGAGTGAGGAACTTCTGCAAAGCTTCCAACACAAAGCCATCCACCCAAACTTCACAGGCTGGGCAATAAAAGCATTACAAAATAATGAGTCGAGTGAGCTGAATCCATCCATCCATCCATCCTCTAACACGCTTAATCCCAAGTGGGGTTGCGAGGGATGCTGGTGCCTATCTCCAGCTGTCAATGGGCAAGAGGAGGGGTACACCCTGGACAGGTCGCCAGTCCATCGCAGGGCAACACAGAGACAAACAGGACAACCATTCACGCACACACTCACACCTAAGGAGAATTTTTAGAGAATCCATTTAACCTAACAGTCATGTGTTTGGACTGTGGGAGGAAGCTGGAGTACACGGAGAGAACCCACGCATGCTCAGGGAGAACATGCAAACTCCATGCAGAAAGACCCTGGGCCGGGAATCAAACCCAGAACCTTCTTGCTGCAAGGCAGCAGTGCTGAGCTGAATACATATGACTTTAAAATGCTATGCACTTGTTTTATTCAAGTATTGTTGATGTCATACAACTTTCAGACGGTAAAAATCTGGGGAAAAAAAATAAAAACCATGATAACTTAAAAGTTTGACATTATTTTTGAGCTGCACCTCACATATACTGTGCCTTTCTATCAATACATTTTTATTCACATGGCCTCATGTCTGCATTTGCTGGACCATGTAAGGACTTTTCCTCTGTGGAGTCTGAATCAGAAGAACTTATGAAATTCAAAGGATTTATCTTAGTTCTGAACATTCAGTATGCCTTAATGGC